ATTACTTCATATGTTGAATTGGATTCCTTGAACTAAAGCATTGGTGGGGACATTAAAAGGTCATGGTAGTTAGGGCACTCGCAGTCATTTTAATACTAAATATGTGATTTTTGGCGGCCATTTTGAATATTTATTTTGAATTTTCACACTAAAGATGTATGCTATGGTGCTTATGTACGTTCTATTGGATTCCTTGAACTAAAGAGCATAGGTATTAACACTAAGATTATGGTAATATGTACACTAAAAGCCTTCAAACTTCCAAATTTGTGTTTTTTTTGGCGGCCATTTTGAATATTTTATTTAATTTGCATTTTTTGCATGTATGGTATTGTATTTTAATAATTTTTTATTGAATTCCTTGAACTAAAGAACATAAGTATTGACACCAAGATCATATTAATGTGAGTTCTTAGAGCCTTTAAACTGCCAAAATTGTGTTTTTTGGCAGCCCTTTTGAATTTTCCATTTGGGGGGGGGGGGAAGGGGTGGAGTGACATCGTGGTTCCCGCAATTTTTGAAATCGGCATACTCAAAAACCCCCTAGGACAAAGTTTCATGCTTCTTTCCAGAAGTGCACGCCCAAGTCACATATCCGCCCCCACTACAACACCACATTCAAACAACGAACGCGTTAGCGTTAACACGTTATTACATAGAAGAAAGAGCTCCTAAATAGCGGGAAATTAGCTTTCCCGACTTCTGAGATGTTTTCAAAGTTCAAGGTTCCCCCTCTTGAAAATGGGCACGTAAACTTTCTCTTTCTTATTAGAGTAAATAGGCTTATTATGTGTGTATACATACATAAAAAAATGAGTAGGTTGCATACATTTTTTTTCTATGAATCTATAAACCCTAAAGAGAAAGTGGGGGGGGGGGGTCATCTAGGAATTTATATTCCTAGATGTCGAGAAATGAAATTTTCTGACATTCAGATATATACATCGCCACTTTCCCCCACTCATTCAACACCGTGAGGAGCACGGGTATATGCTAGTTTTACTAAAAACAACCAAATACTAGTACATTGTTACGCTACAAGACAATCCTCTCATTCCCGTGACTCCTCCATATAGGCCTAACAATGATGATACTACAATATATTGAACTCTCCCCCAAATAAAGACCATACTCGGTAGGCCTATAACATTTTAGTTAACATTGGTTGCCGGATCAGTTAAATCACATAAGTTCCAGTTGACTGCTTGAGTATTTTGATTTAAAATATATATTAACCTGCTTTGAAGTTCGCTGACATTTTACAAAATACAACATTAGTTACCACAAATTATTTTTAAGCACATTATGTTGGATGCTTTTTTTTTTCTGATTCTCAGAATACCAGAGCACACATTAAAAAAGGAATATTATTGCATTGACATCATTCTACTGTACTACTTCTAATGATGATGATGATGAAGATGGTGATCAGGCCCATACACAGGATTTTTATTGGGTGGGTACGAATTTGAGAGTGGACCAAAATGGCTCCATGGGTGGGGGGAGGGAACTAGGGGTAAAAAACCTGCTGTGATTTTGAGGGCGGAGCTCAGGAATGTATAATTTGAGGCGTTATTTAATCGATTTCTAAAGATGCATGTATTAAAAGGTTTTCAGTGGCAGATTTAGGAATTTGAAGAGGGGAGGGGTTAGGGGGACATGGAGGGATTTTCACAAACGGAGGAGATACCACTTCAGCTCCACAATAGTTTTTGCTTTATGGCACCTCTAGATGGCCGGAGATGGCACTCTCAGACTTAAATATGAAAATAAATTTCTTTTCTTTTAAAAAAAAAATTTGACAAATTTAAGAGGGGTGGGGGAGGGGCACCACTACTGGGAATAGTGCAGCACAGTCTAGAGGCACAGATACATTAGAGAAAATGTCATCATCACATTCCATCATCGCTGCTGCTGGACGTTGTCAGAGGATCCAGAGCTTCACTGACAATCGCAAATAATCTGATATATTTGTTTAGACAACCAATAATCTTTCTGTATTGTTTTGACGTTTCTTTATGTACAGTGGTTACAAATGTAATATTCATAATAAACAGGCCTATAGTAATAATAATAATAATAATAATAATAATAATAATAATAATAATAATAATAATAATAATAATAATAATAATAATAATAATAATGATTGGTTTGAAAGTTCGCATGTATTAGTGGTACACACATAGATAGTTCTGAAATAAGGATAGTCCAGAACGCCTCAAATGTTATTTTCGAGCGTCTAGAACACAAAAATTTCGCGGGGACATTCCCCCGGACCCCGTAGGATAGTGTTGTCTCTTTCGGCCCCTCCCTTTTGGACATCTCTGGATCCGCTCCTGGTGTATAATAGAATACAATAACAGAAACAAGATATACAACTACTACAAATCACTTTTCCACCAACATGAACATGTTGAACTTTTATTTCATTAGCAGACAATAAGAACTAGATGACACCTAAATCTAGCGATCTCAACAATCCTAACAGTTTTCACTAACATTAATTAAAAAGAAACTTCTGTCCTTGTAGAATGCTTTGGCAAGATTTTTGTTAAAAATTCCAACTTATAGACACAAAGTACATATTAAAAAAAACAATTAACTGTACATTGTTAAAATATTATGTGTCATTTAACTCTTTGGTACTCTATTGGTGTATAACAACATTAATTCATAACAATGGAGGTAATTTAGCAATGGTTTTTTTAGCAATCTCTGTTGTAAGGGTAATTATTTGATCTACTGTGTCGGTATGAATCATCATTTGATAGTACTACTGTGTTGGCACATGTAAATATTTAACAGTAATTTACTGTGTTGGTATGGTTCATCACTTGATGGTACAGTACTAATGTGTTGGCATAGGTTTGGTATGGATAATCATTTGATGGTACAATACTATTGTTTTGGTATTGGTCATTATTTGATGGGTATCTACCGTCTTGGTATGGATCATCATTTGATGGTACTGTGATGGTTTGGGTAAATGCATCTGTAAAACTCTCAATGAACTACTTTATGAACTACTTTATTTCGGAATCCCTGGATACGCCACTGACTTAAGATGACATGGGACATCATTTAATGGTACAAAGAACTACAGTGTGTCACAAACTTTGGCCTACGTATAGCCACCGACACCTCTACTATCATTATAACAAGGAACCTTATCTTAATCAAAAGCACACAATCTTTGTGCAAAAGTTTAGCAAATGTGCCAACAGACATGAATTTAATAAAAAATCAACAAATTTATTTTAATTTGAATTAGTTTTGCATGGTTTAATCATGCACTACAACAGTGCTTGTTATACTACAATCTTGTCTGCTAGACCAGTAAACTCATCCATGGTAAATCATATATGGAAATGCTGAAGTCAGCTGAGTTGTCCTATATGATTCTAAAAGATTCTAATAAGATTATACAATTACATAAAAAAAAATACTGTATTTCCTACCGTAAGAATTGGTACAACAAAATAAATGCTATAAGTAATGATTCACTACATTTCTAATACTTCTAAGGTCTGATATTTTTCAGACAATACTATATGTTTTCTTCCTTTAAATATTTATGTAAAAAAAATACACAGGAATCGTTCACAATGGGCACATGGAGGTATTATTGTTTTAATAATTGTATACATACGGTAGTCAATTAAAATTTGACAGGATGGAGTTGCTACCAAGTAGAGACACTGAACAAGTGGGTGTTTGGAAACAGGTGGGTGTGCACAATTTAAGTGGTTGTTAAAAGTAGGTGGGTGTGTAAAAAACAGGTGGGTGTGTAAAAAACAGGTAGGTGTGCAGAAAACAGGTGCATGTGTAGAAAGGTGGGTGGGAAGTAAACAGTTGAGGCTGTGCAAAACAAGTGGATGTGTACAGAGCAAGTGTTGGTAGGCAGTAAACAGGTGGGTTTTTAGTGAACAGGTGAGAATACAGGTAGGTGTGCAGAAACAGGTAGTTGTGTTGAAAAGAGGCATGTGAGTTGAAAGAGGTAGGTGTGTTGAAAGAACATGGGTGATAGACAACAGGGAGGTGTACAGAAAACTGGTGAGTGTTAGAAAACAGGCATGTGTGCATGTGTGTAAATTATGTGAGTAAGAAAGGTGTGTTAAAAACAAGTAAATGAGTGAAAAAAATATGATGTACCCAACACGTGTTTAAAACTACAAAAATCTGTCATGTTAGGATAACAAGGCCATACCTCTGCTTTTTTCAAAGAAGTAAAAACATTTTGCTGTCAGTAATACACATTGAATTTAATGTTATGTTTTTGAATGGATGCGGTAAATTAATGTATTAAAACAAAAAAATACCGATTGTCAAAAATATCATTCATACCAAAAAGAATAAAGTAAAGAACACACTGTGCTGACGGCCATTGGCTGGTATGATTCCATAGAGAATGCAACAAGGTGCGTGCAATGGATGATTTTTAATGATGATCTGCCCAGATTTTCACAGATAACCAGAAGACAGTGTTGTGTTGTGAAGTACTCATGCAGAGCAGAGATGGATTTGGCTGCCGATAGTCATAAGCCTGGTTTTCACGAGAGCCCTAGTATCCGGATCGGGAGCTAACCGTTAGCAGTATCCGGACACCGCTAACAGTTAGCAAGCGCTATCGGTTAGCAAGTTAAGCGCGTTTTTATCATCAACCAATCAAACGTACGCGTTTACAATTTCCAGTTTCTTATTGGCCAATGATTCGATCATCACATATTTGGTATTACTTTATTTGATCAGGATTTTGTCATACGGATGCACGGTAGCTAACGGTTAGCAGGATCCGGATCCTGCTAACTGTTAGCAGCCGTGTGAGAACATAGCCTATTGGATCGGTGTACACATACAGTAAGTGTGTGCATGCTTATATTCATTTTGGTGACAAAGCATATGTTTCTTTGTTCTTGCACCACAATTCATGTAAACAACATCACATTGAATTAATATCTTTATATTGATAAAGTCTTGAAAATCAATAATATACAAGTTAAAATGTATTCTGCATAAAATGACACCAAAATTGTAATTTCATTAAAAAAAATTGAGATTGCCTTGGTATTCTAACCACAAATATATTATGCAGCATTAAACAGAAAAAAATATGTAAAGAAATGTGGCAACCCCTATGATCACAACAAGGTTTACATTCAGGAAAATTTTTGCCTTTGGGTCTTGTTCCAGGGAGGTAACAGCCTTGAGGTGTTCCCTGTGTTTCTGTGCTTTTTGTTTTCCTTTCATTGTATCATCGTATCCACAGAACCAATCATAGCCCTTCTTACAAGTACCTCGCCCATCAACAATTTCCACTGTAAAAAAATATGTATTTATTAGGTTTATTTAAAGATAAACTGGAAATTTCAATTCCTTGCTAATGTATTAAAACACTGGATTACTGTTCACTAAGCAAAATTGGCATCTGGAATTACATGACTTATAAGTGGGGCAATAACAATGCACAGTAAATGCATATACTGTATATATTTTCTTCATAGTATAAAAAAAGGGATGGTTGCTTTGGAGTATATATGCACAAAGGAACATCACTGATGTTGACAAATATTCTGGATCTGAATAATTAACTCTGAAAACGTGGGTACCTGCATCATGATGATTGGAATGCCAGTAAACTACTGGAAAATGTTCGATAAGATAATAGTCCCAAGTATTGATGTTAAGAGTTTAGGCCAAGCCCCAATATACCTGTGGCAAGATTAGGCATAGCAAACGTCTTAGATCCATGTAGCTTCATATTTTTGGCACAACACAAAAAGATAACCAGTTTCCTGATTTCCTGTGCATTTTTGTCATATTCTCAACAAATCTTTTGCCTCCAGTGTAGTGCGCCACCAGCGTTTCCACCAGGCCAATGTAAACACTGAAAGGTTTACATGGAAGAAACTTATCATACACAGGTACAGACCATGTTGGCAGTTTTATAACTAATAAAAGCATATAAAATCAAGGTAAAGTATACGTTAAACCCAGGCAGCTGCTACAGCATCTGTTTGTTTTCAAATTAAAATACACAAAAGTTGACGCATTTCAATACCTTCACCATCAGTGTCTTTCAAATCATCCAATTCAACTTCAGCTTTGTCATCTTCAAAATCATCAAGTCGTTTAGCCCCACTGAATCGAGACCAATAAGTGGTTCGAATAACCTGTCAAAACAAGAGCAATGTGTATTGAGATATACAGTAGTTTATGCAGCATCATGCTATCAAAAGGTCCCTGAACCTAAACTGACCTCCTGGGGTTTGATGGAAGGGTCACCTATATAATTATGGCTCTGACAAAATTATGACATGCATATTTGAAACTCTACCACTTGACAAACAAAATAGTTATGAACCATTGGGAATTTTTTTTTACCTTTTCTGGATCAGTAGGACTTGTCACTAAACTGACAATGATGTTGACAAAAACAGTTTGCCAGAATAGAAGCAAAGCAAAGTACATGTAATGCACTTTGGCTGTAATTGATGGACGGGGATCTTCTTCCCAGCATGGTGGAGAACGCCAAACAAAGTCCAAGATCATTCTAATTCCGCCAGTCACCAATCCTGCCATTAAGCTCCAGAAAGCACCCTAAAAAAATTATCAATCCAAAGTTTGTTTTAAAAACAATTAAAAAAAAAACAAAAACAAAAAAACAGAACAATAGGTTGAAGGTAAACATAGGAGACTAAAATACAGCTTATTGCTGGTTGAGCTTTACTGTAGTTTGTTTGTAAATATGTTTAATATTCTACATGATTACACAGGCCTATCACACACACACACACACACAACAACAAATCATGTCGGACTGCATCATACAATGCCGTCTGAGTTGGCCCCCACCCCACAAGCCCCTCTACAGGACCATCACCATGCCTACCTGCACAAGGTCCATCTCTATTAAGCCCAACATCACAAGGCATATTACCAATGAACCCACCTGCAAAGGGCACATTACCAGTGCACCAGCAAAAGGCCCAGCACCATTAATCCCATCTGGACAACACCCATTACCAGTCCACTTAGAGAAGGTCCATCACCATTACTAGGCCCATCTGCACAAGGCCCATTACCAGTGAGCCCACCTGCACAAGGCACACAGCACACAACTTGTGCACCGAAAAGGTTCAGCACCATTAATTCCATCTGGACATCTACAGATGGTCCATCATCATTATTAAGCTCACCTGTGCAAGGCCCAATACCATTGAGTCCACCTGCACAAGGCACATTACCATTACCATGTTGATGCACAGGGCGCATCAACATTAAGCCCACTTGCATACAGCCATCACCCTTAAGCCCACCAGCACTAGGCCCACCTCAACTAAACCCATCTGCATTATGCCGATTACCATTAACTCTAACCGCACCACGAAATTCGGTAATCAAACACCTAATATCACTGACCTGTTCATTTCCTCTCGGCCACAGGAGAGCCACAAGGTAAACAGCAGCAATTGGAGGAGAAAGGTAAGCGGCGATCTCCTGGATGTAAATGAACAGTTGCCCACCCTGCATTTCCATGATAATTGGAATCCAAATAATACCAATTCCAACCATTATCATCACAATAACTCTAAAAAAAAAAATACAATTACTATATTTTACACTTTACAAAAATAATATTGTTTGTGTTGTGAGAAGTCACAACAATGAAATGTGTCAGGAAGTTTGTACTCTACCTTCCTACGATCATCAGCTCCCGGACAGAGGGCTCACTTTTAAAGAACTTTATGCGGAAGATCTTCCAGACATCAATGGTGAACAGTGTACTGGTACTATTAAATATTGATGTTAAGTCACTCATTAAAGCAGCAAGCATCACTGCAAGCATCACACCACGTAAACCTACAATGCATACGACACACAGTATTACAGTTATTACAACATTTAAACAACATATATTCCTTAATAGGAAAATCTAAAGGCTATATACCGTACCACTTGGCCTTAAGCTCAAAAGGGAAAGTATTATCTTCACTATCTTTCAGCAGTGAAGGTATATCTATATACCAAAGTTACTATCATATATATATATATATATATATATATATCTGTCTCTTATACACATCTAGATGTGTATAAGAGACAGTATATACACCTTGATAAGCAAAACATGATGCAAGCCTACTGCATGAGGCCTACCACAATAACACGTCAAAGTTCAGCCTACCTGTTGGCATGAGACCTAGCACAATACGTGGATATGCAATGTTGCTGCAACCTGTACTGCTACCACAGACCTCCATGCAAGTTTCAGCAGAGGCACAACCAACTTCATCTGAGAAAAGAGAAAATTTACATCAAAACCAACAGGCAATCATAAACAAAGATATATTGCCTCTGAAAAATGATTAAAAAAAACCTTAAACATAGTCAAATAAACTGCTTACTACAAAAGTCGTTAAATTTATTACAAGAAATTAAAGGGTATGCGATTCGGCCTGGGTCATTGAGACAGTACACAGAAGAAAGTCCAAGGTGAATCGAGCCACTGTATTCATTTGGTTTTAACATTGTGGTCATATAATATTACATTTAGTAGACTTATAAAAGCCTTTTTAAATTAATGATTTAGTATACAATTTATAATTTTAAAAAAAATTTCCCTGCTGTCTGACATTACATTAAAAAATAAAAACTGAAACCAGATTTAAATGTAAATAAAAAGATCTGAAATCTGATTTAAATCTGAAGAATATCATAAGCTTTGTCCTTATTATCAAAATTTTATTAGACAAAAAAACTGTTGTATGCCTATGTATAGTCATGATGTGCCCATATATATACAAAGGTCTCCATAATATTAACTCTTTAAAAGTTGATTATTATCTTTATTACATGGTCATGATTTGATGTCATCATGACCATATTTAGGCAAATTACATGTTTTTGTCTAGACACAGCTTTAGTTGCACTGACCAGGGTACAGCACTCGACTTATCATTCCTGGTATAACCATAAGAACCATTGGAAGCAGCTTGATGTAGCCTGCAAAGATACAGCCACCTTGTGCATGTGATAGACTCTTTGCTGCAAGCGCCCTTTGCACCATCATCTGTTGGAAGCAAATCATTGCATTTAAATGTTAACACTTTGCTTTTACAAAGCCATTAAAACGCAACCTACAATAAAACATTCCTAAATTTTAGAGTAATTCCGTTAGAATTACTCTAATAATAGAGAAACATTCATTAAATTTTAGACGAAATAGAAACTGGAGTAGATTGCCAAAAAACCTAGTAATAATTCATGATTGAATTTTATAACAACAACTATATTTAATGCCTTTACACTTTGCAATAAAATCATAGGTTCTCTACTGTTTAAATTTCATCTGAATATTATTTGTGAAATTTGACATTTAGTTTGTATAGGGAAAATAATTCAGGGACAATAAGCTACAATGGAGGGCGCTGTATAGAAATTTAAGTAGCATTATTTAATCCACATTACTTGCTACAATTATATAAAGTAAAAAGTATATTTGACCTAGAAATTTTAAAATCAGATTTGAAAATGTTATTTGTTGATACAATTCTTAATCATCATTTTATTGCGAGTAGAAAAATGTTAAATTGTTGTTAACATCTTAATGTAAGCCTAGGCTTACCTGCAAAGCCAGTGCTACCTGTGCAGCCAGTAGCCAGCCGAACGCGAAAGTAGAAAGCAACTTATTGGTCATAATATTTAGTATTAGTCTAGGCCTAGTATGACATTATATATTCATTTCCTAGGCCCAAATCATCAGCCTCTACTGTAAATTAAAATAGCTCAACTTATGATCAACACGCTATGATGTTCATGGCCAATTTTAGGTACAGTATGTTAACTGTACTTAAAATGAAATGTAGTTTTTTCGCAGGCACTGGTATTTATGGATTTCAAATTTTACCCCTGTGCTGGAGAATTAGTAGGTAGCCCATTGCTTCTTACACCATTACATTGCTGAGCCAAACTAATGTTGCTACAGTAAGCATTAAAATTATATCATTAACACAGCTCTATCCCGTACCAATTCGAAAATACAACAAATAAATAAATGGTTCTTTTTGGAGAGTATTTAATTATGGTGGGAAAACACAAAAAAAGAGAACTTTCACTATCTCATCCGAGAATTGATTTTACATAATAAAACGGTGGTTTACATGATAAACTGAATCCTATGCCTAAACTGGTGATGTCATACACAAAAATGAATTTTTTTCCTGGTTGCTCAAACGAGATAGCAAAAGCTCTCTATTATTGTCATCATACTTCAAAACAAAATATAAATTCTGTAACGAATTGCTGGAATATGACCATTAAAGAAGAAGATTTTAAATATAATTTAAAATTGATTTAGTATACTTAGTAGCCAGTACTGTTGATAGAACAATGCATTTTGATGCAGTCCTAGGCCCACTCCAAGTTTGTGAACTGAAAAAGAATGCCTATACTGTCCGGAGTTTTCTGGATAATACCTTTACTAAATGAATTTGATGCAGACTTTTTGGAACCTGGTGTGTAGGTCTCGCTAGGCCTAGGCAGAATGTGTTAACACAAACTGTATAGCTATGCATGTTTCTTGTTCTTTCTACTCTCTCCGATGTTCAATGTGTTCTTCATCTATAGTCTACAATTACTTCTTCTTTGTTTATCTGAGCCATTCGATAAGACTTATATGAGACTGTGTACATGTTTGTTTTGTAAAAGGGATTGTCACAAGTACAACAGTGATGTATTCGCTATTAACAATCCTTGGAGCTTGTGTGTGCCTAAATAAATTAATAAAAAATACTTTATATGAAGTATAATAATAATAACAATAATAATAATAAAAATAATAACTCATCTAGATAGCCTGCTAATCCTATGCATAACAATGTCCTGTCACTAAGCTTGGATTGGGCAATGCACTTGCGATGTCAACATAAATCCAGTTTAACGCGTCTATGTCACAAGGGTGCACAAGATTCATAATTTCAGAGATAGGATATTAGGTAACTGAGTATACTAAATCAGTTTTAAAATCTTTTCGGTAAACTTCTCCCTTTTACCTCTTAGAACTGAATAATAAACTGTGGGACCAACAAGTGAAAACCAGATGCAAGTTGAAAAATTTGAAAATTCAGGTATTAAAAATACAATATATAGCTTTATAAGGAGTTTTATATACCACATATATACTCTCCTTGTCGGAATTATGCAAATTATAAAAAAAACATCAAAGAAGATGCAAGAAAGCCGAATTGGATTTATAAACTTTCTAAATAAATTAAAAACACTGAACTGAACAATAAATACTGGATGGTTTAATAAAATTTTAAATAAATTTTATATTCTAAACTTTTGTGAAAATTACGTGCCATAAAACCATAAAATTACTAGATGAAAGTGCTTTACTTTGGAGTGTTTGAATCTGGTTAGTACTGGTTTGGAGCCTCGCTTCACAAACAGTAAATTATGCAACAAGCAAAGGACAAATTGCATAATGATTGACATATGTACCAAATTTAAGAGGCTCCATCTTCATATTTACATCTTGAATTCTGCTGAGTTTGAAACTAATCCAACTCCAGTTATTGTGGTAACAATAAATTACTTATACTGTCACTGATTACATCGCCACTAACACCACCAGAAGTGACAAGATGAAGAGCGCGTGGAAATATACTTTTATCATGACATATTTGTATGATAGCCCATCTGAACGAAAAAAAAAAACATGTGATTTATGAAATACAAAACAAGTATTTGCATTATTCCTCCAGAGAGGATATTCAAAACAGTTTCTAGGTAGTAGTATAAGGCCTATTCTGTACATATTTCTCTGTTATCGTTCTTATTTCTTCATTATATTCGAAATTTCCAATATGTCGCTTGAAATTTGCTGGTGTCTTTACCAGACCATACTGGTGATGTCTATAATGAAAAAAAAAACTGTCATCATGTGTTGCTACAATTTTTATAAATTCTTGCTATTCAGTCCTTCTTTCCAAGTTCATTAGTTTTGAAATTTTATTTTTTCTTAGTTATATGGAATCAGCAATAATTCCTAACGAACTATTAAAATCAACAATGGTCTACAGTGCAAGAGAGCAGCCATACTACGTTGAAATTCCTGAGATCAGATAAGTTATTCAATGTGGGACCAGAAGTCTTGGGAGCACCAGTTGCTGTCACCACCAACTGAAAAAGTTTCATTGGCAATAGTTTGGATCAGACTTTTTGAAGTCTAAACTGTACAACTAGGTCTAGTGTCCACTTCCTTAATCCTGTGCACTTTACTGAGGACACACTGCGTCTATGGTCTAATCCACAGAGAAAATGATGAGGTGCATGAAACTGATTGTTTTTCTAATAATACGCTCAGTCTTCAACTGACAATCAGCAATTGCCAAGTGCTCGCCGAAAGCTGAGATGGATGCGTCGACGACCGTCTGCCGATACATAGTGTGCCCAGATTTAAAGAAACAGAACATATTGCAAGAAAACAGAACCATGAACAAAGTAACCCTTTGTAGAGCAAAAAATTAGAAGTGAATTTGTTCCTGTGCTTTTTAACCACGAGGAGAGTACTATAAAGTAACAAGTGACAAGTGACAAGTAAAAAGCACCAGATGTGACATGGAACAGTAGCAGTTGACATGATGCAAATCGACAGGAAAAAAAAAATCAAGACAAATTGAAAACATAATATCAGACGTGGCTATGCTGAATTTCAGAGGACAGGATGTAGCTTTTTTTCTACTTCATTTCATGGGTCAACACATCTGAGGAAGTTACTAGTGTGCCAGATTTTGCAGTATTTAGTTTTTAATTACATTTTGACTTTAAAACCTAACATAAACTGGCCTTGCAATCAGTGGGCTATCTTTCAATTGGTCGCGGACAGTTACGTCTCTGACATAAGGTGCCCTTTTTAGAAGGAAAAAATGATGAGATGATTCACACTGAACAAAAAATAATATTCAAATGCATCCATATGTAAAAGTGCTCAGAAATGGTGTTTAATACAGTAGCCTCCTAATGGCATTGTTGAATCATGAGTGCTCCCCTGACCCAAGCGCTTCTTGTTTAGTTACTTGACCAAACTCTTTGAATATTAGTTACGCCTTTGCTTGTTAATAAACAAACTGAAATTTCTTAGCGCATCACAACTGAGCTATACATCTGCAGCTAGCACTTAAAAGTGCAGAGACAAACCAGCTTACTCTCAATCTTGAGTGGCAGTTATTATGCAGATATATATGATAAATATTTAATAACATATCATCACTGGGAATTTTAGTACAAGATGAACAAAACACCACTGGAACACAAGAGTAAAGACAGGACTTACATAGCTGGACACAGCAAAGCTGGACACAGCACAACTGGACTACTCAATAAGATGAAGAGCTGATTATGAAGACTATCCTTGAAGTTGTTGGAACAGAAATTGTGTTTCAAACTCTCAACCTTGAGGTCAGAGCTCCAAAACCAAAACGGTTGTGTCATTGGGCAAGAAACTTAATGTTTGTCTCTCTTCACCCATGATTATAAATAGGGATCTGACAAAATATATGTGTTCTAGCAACCGAGATAAAAGGGAAGAAGGTAGTCACTTAAAAGAATGTCAAACTTACCTGGTCTGCGCACCAGTACCAAATAGAGGCTGGTGTTTGGCCAAGCAGAAATCCAGCCCATGGCATGTCAGAGTTCACAGGATCACGCAACATCTGGAAAGAATCCTCACGTGGGTATCCACACGTGTAATTTGGATTGCTCAGTGTCTCATTTGGAATGGCCTGCATGTATTTCAGCTTTAGTTGATCGTAACCACCAACCTCCACAAAACCTACAAAAGTAAAAATTACAATGAAAAATGGCATTGTGTACTGCACCATTTCCATAGAATACTGTGTTCTTAAATCTGAAGAAATTTATGTACTTTAAGGTCTAGTTCAGACTAGTTGGATAAACCCGGCTCAACTCACCGGGTTTATCTACCTGCCAGTCTAAACTAGGTGGCTTATCTCAAGCCGGGCTGTGTTCCTATAGTAACTAGGCCTGGCATGCCATCGTGTTTAACTTTTCTAAGCCTGGCTTTAATTGTTAATGCGGGGGGGGGGGGGGGGGGGGGTCTTGCATTGACTTTGGGTAACAAAATGACCAATCAGCATTCAATTACTTACTCTGTGAGCGAGCGTACGTTTCACGAGCAATGTTTTGAAACATGTTTGCTGGTTACGGTACATTATTATGAAAATTCTCGCGGCTGGCTAATCCCGCTAGTCTGAACGCCTGTTAGTTAAGCCGGGTTTAGCGTTGAGCTGGGCTTAACTCAAGCCTGGCTTATCTCTAAGTCTGAATGTAGCCTAAAGCTGCATTTCACATCAGATCCGAGCCAAAATTAGGACCGTGTCTCTGATGCACTGAACACCAGAATCCCTATTCTTACACACTGATTCATTTTTTTTTTATCAATTTGGTACGCCTTCTGATCCGAAATTTGGTTTTGGTATGAATGCAGCTTAAAACCCCTATTTTTAATCTCTGTCCACATTACCAAATTTTATGGGACAAATAACTGATATGCCCATATTTGGGTGTAATATGACTTAATCCTGCCCATATAAGGGCACACCACACAAATTTTCACATAAAATTTTTATAGTGTGCACAAAAAATTTATACTGTAAATCTCATAATGGCCGTGCACTTTATCATAAATAAAATAGACAGATTTAGTATAAATTTTGTTTTTAAAAAAAGTTAATACAATTTTGCCTCTTGGACTATATGAATGGAAATCAAAAAGACTTGGGTTAAAATTTACCCTTCCGGCATATCCTAGAAGGTCGACTGATATTCAGGGGCCCTCTTTAAATAAATGAAATAATGTGATGCTTTTGTCAGCGATGTCTCTTTATGAGGCATAGGGAGTGGAGTTGTTTCTACTCGTGAGAAAAAGTACTACTGTCACAGGACTTGAACCCAGAACACTGGGATTAGAAGGCAAAACATCTTAACCACTAAGCTATTTCAATCCACTCCAATACCGAAGGGAAAGGAGACAATACATTATTCTAAAAAATACATTATCAAAAACTTACTTAAAACCATCAAAATCACAGCCCCAATAATCATAATGAAGAATTGTAGTGTATCAGTATAAATGACAGCAGCTAAACCACCTGTCAAAAAACAAAAAAACAAATTTAAGAATTATAAAGTATACAACTTCAAAATCTTATTAAGTGAGAATCAATTTTCTTTAACCATTTCATGTAATGTTTTTAAATATGTTTTAGACTACTTTAGAGACAGTATTGTACTTACTTCTATTGTATTGAACTTTCTAAAAAAAAACCACTAATTAAATCTGTCTTATATTAATGGATAGTTCTGAGAATATCTCAACGTTTCGATTGAGTTGCTTCAGGAGAATAATATTTGCAGAAATAATTCCAATTTAGTTTTCCACCAATCAGCAGCAAGTATCACTACCCACTGTATTTCACTGTTTTTTTTTATTGAATTGAAGCAACTCAATCGAAATGTCAAGATATTCTCAACCAACAACAACAGTTCTTTTCAGAACTATCTATGTGGTATACCGCAAACATTAAAATATATCATTACTTCGCCATGCAAACCTTCAAACAATAAATCTGTCTTTTTATAAAAGCATGTCAGGATGTTTGTTTAAATTATAAACATGAACGTAGAATTAAATACACAAAATTTGTAACATTCAATACATTTAGAAACAATAAAAGAGTTGCCTAACATAATTCAAGTAACCTATTGAATTTATGATACTACAGTACATTGTAAATACAGAAATCTGTTTTTTTTTGTTTTGTTTATGTTAGCATGATTAATATAACCCATCAAAAAAAAAAGAAAAAAAAAAAAAACACCACAAGACAATGCCTACATCAACAGGTTTTGATCCAGGAAACGTGAAGTAATGTACCTCATTGATCCTAAGTGATATTGTGCTCCATACTAGTCTACTATTATAATATGTATAAAGCAAAGTAGCCCTTAAGAGCCCAGTTGAGATTACAGTACATAAGCTTTCATGTAAATATAACACTCATTTATAGGCAAATGACAAAGAAAAGGTACTGTGTACACAAAAGCTTATGTTAATACAGATCGCATCAGTCCTACTTTCCTAGTTACGGTAGTTGCAAGTTAAGAATTTGGGTTGGCACTGAGGACAGTGAAATACAATAGGAGGAACTCACCGCTTTGAAATGTGCACCACACTGAGACAACCCTCTACATATTTCTAAAGAGTACTGCATTCTCTAATGTTGATATGGGTCACACTGTACAATGGACCATGGGCCTTAAAGTTACTACTGAATGACAGTGTGCGATGGCCTAACACATGGCAGTATGAAAGAATACAGCCAGGGACACAAAGGCCTCAATAGTTAAGTTCACTTTAGTGTTTTTACACTGCTCTTATTTATTTATTCAACAATATTTCACGGGGTCACCTTCATCTTACAGTGAAGGTGACTCAAAGAGGCCCTCAACAGTAAATACAAATGTGGCAAAGACAAGCTAAACCAGTCACTCGTCGCAATCCTGTTTTGGAGATAATGGCCAAAACATGCTGGAATTTCAAAATTTTGGAAATCTATTTTATTGCACTAAACTAACCTTTATATATCTACACATCATGCTATGCTGTTATTTTCCTCACGATTTGGTGATGGTTTCTGCCTAAGAAATGCCTGAAATCGTAAACTTTGAAGGCTGATTTCTCAAATATTGTTCTTTATACAGCTGTATGTTTAAACTCGTGTAACTTCATAACGAAGTGTTGGATTTAAATGATTCTTTTACCATTTTATAGCTCTCATTGTATAGTTAAACCCTGTATTAATAACTAAACATTGATTTTTCGGACGAGTGACTGGTTTGGCTTGTCTTTGCCACAAATATATATAAAAAGGAAAGAGAAATGTAAAAATACAATAAAATATAAAATCTCTATAAGAAAAACACTCTAAGAAGTCAAATCCTTAATAGTGTAGCATCAGAATTATGTTACCCTTTAGAGGTTCACTAATACTTGGTATCATAGTGTCCACCCACTTTAACTACATTGCTGATTTAATTTTTTCCTAAATATATGATATGAATTGAGACAAATCCAAAACAAACCTGTGACAGTACATATTGCAGTAAGGGCCAAAAGTATAATGATTGAAACATACAGATTCCAGCCCAGGGCTTCTTGGATGAATAGGGCACCAGAGTACATGTCCACCTATTAAATCAAATTATTTATATAAAAAAAAAATTATATAATTACAAATTCTTTTAAATAAATTGGTGTTAGTTTTTAGAATTTTATGTACCTTAATATGAATGTGATATATAAATATTAGTTTACATATTTTGTCAGGCATCAGATGTGTGTCTGGTAGACTCAATAAGCAATTTTTCAAACACTAACAGGCAAAGCATCTACTCAATACAAATGTTTTATGTGAACAAAAATGTAATTGGGGTGGTGTTGAATCATTATAATGACATGTTTTCCTTACAATGGAATAAGTAAGGGAAAGAAAAAATAAGCAAGAAAATATCAAATTGAATGAATAAATGAATATAAGAATAAACGAATGTATGAATGTAATAATTAACAAACAAATGAAAAAGACAAGTAAAATAATAATAAATGAATGAACGCTGATTGAATACGTACCGATATCTTTGTAAAAATATACAAGACCAATGAAAGGCAAGCCAGATAAACTCGAATTCGTTGCCCTCCAAATCTCTTCTTCATATACTCTGGTAATGTGTACACCTGGAAATAGCCAAATAATATTTCAGTCAACAACAATTGATTTTGAAAGTGAATAAATTATTGGTGTGTAAGTGTTCGAATCATTCCAACTTACAGGCCATTGCCAAATATTGCAGCCATATAAGAAACATTACAAAATGCTTCTAGTTAACACAACAATTTCATTGATTTTGTGGATTGCAATTACATTAGAACCCTTCCTTTGGGACACCAAATTTTGGTCATGAAGTGAGGAAAATATATCTTTTACTATGGCCAACTCCCATTGAGGGGACACTTATTTTTCGATCCCTTAATATGGGTTCTATTGCTTTCCTCCTTATCCCAGGGTTCTGGGTTCAATTTCTGTCACAGCAGGACTTTCTCTCACGACCAAAAACAAATGTACTCCCAAAGCCTCATGAAGAGACTTGGTTTATAAAGCATCATTCTCATCCTGTAAGTGAGGATGTTGGATGTGAAGAGAAAAAAAAAAAGAATAATTGTAGAAGTGTGAAATTCAACATACTGTCACAGTATCTGTGATGCGATAAAACAAAAAAACACTCACAGATAATATATAAATAATATTGTGACTTGAAATTCTTTTTCAAATCCGCAAAACTTTTGTTTGGAAGTTCACAGCATGCTTGTTAAGTGCGCCATTATTTTTTTCCCAGATTTTACAACATGATTTTTAAGGCTTTATGATGTGAACGCAGCTTAAACACTTATGCAAATTACATTCTGTAACTGAATCCTTTTAAGGCCACTCTTAAGCTTTAAGGGCAAATGGCCAAGTAAACACAGAATAAAAGCATATTCTTGCTGGGAAATCCAAGCTGAGATTAAGAATCAAGGTTTTTTTCAGGGAAAAAAATCTTATACAAGCTCAAACCAGGGAGATGTAAAAAATACATCTCCCTGCTCAAACATACATTACAGTATGTATGATAAAAAAAGAACACTATATCTGTAAATGTTTAAATAAATTCATAAATTAAAGAATATAAAAATATAAAATTTAAGATTAAGATCTTTACTTACAAGAACATTGAAATCTTCATGATTAACCTTAAAATGTCTTCTTTTTTTTTTTTAAATTATAAATTTAACGTAATATGACCATGGGTTTCTGATTGTGTCTTTTATTACCGTAGGTACTCTTGCATTCTCCCAATTTAGGAAACAATTCTAGGGCTAATACCTTTTCCTGCTTTAAATTGTTTAGATTACAGTTCACTCTCCAATTCGAGACCAATTTGGGACCTGAAAATCTGGGGTGGTCTCTGGGTTTGGTCTCTACTTAGGGTGTGTTCGGGCAAGAACGGGGAAAAGCTACATGCGATTCTTACCGGTATTGTATTGGCGGGTGGTCTACCGGTTCGTGCAAAACTCGGCTTTGAAAAAACCATTAACCTCTGATGTAAGACCTAATGTATTATGCAAATGATGAGTTTTGTCAAGTTTCTATGGACCCTGGCGTCACCCTACTCTTTAATTAAGAAACGGATATTGGCGTTTGTACACTGCATAATGAAATGACCGAAGAAACTACAACAATAAGCTTTATAAAGCATATGGGCCTATATTGAAAACTCCCAATAAATTGCAGATGTGCATTTCGAGCGTATAAACCCAGAATACAACTTTCAGATCATTCGTTTGGCAATGGTAGTATAAAAAAATAAATAAAAATACTACCATTGTTAAACGAATAAGTATATGCATGCGGCGGACGTATATAATAGGGTAACAAATCTGGATTGTAGGCTAGCCCTCTGTTTAAATAATTTTTTATTGAGCTTTTCAGTTTAAAAAAAAAAATTAAACTGTACATGAAGCAGGGACCATGAAAATTTATACAGACTTTACTTCTGGAATGTGTTGAAACAAATTAAAGAGATCAAAAATTGGGATTTAAGTGATAAAGAATGCTGCCTGCTGCTAAAGCATGCTGCTTTTGCCCCTCCAAAACACTGCAATTTGCAGCGTTGGGTTATCAGCGGATATCAGCAGGCGGTTCGCGTTTAACACCCGTTCGGGCCAGAACTGGAAATGGCCATTTCTGGATATATCCTGTGTTAAGACTTCACAAAAAAACTCGCCCGAACGCACGCTTAGAGGGTTAGCTATGTGTTTAAAGATTGACAATTGTTATTTGGTTTTTTGAAAATGTTGTCTCGAATTAGAGGGGTCTCGGAATTAGAGGTGTCTCGAATTGGAGGGTGCATTGTATATTACAGGTGGTGTGGAAATTAAAACGTAATATGATGAAACAATTTCTTTTGCAATTTAAAACTTACCCCACTAGCAATGTACACTGGTAAAAACACCCATCCAAGAAGCTGAAGGAGCAGACATGCCTAACAATACAAGAAATATGGGAAAAAAAACTTCATAAACATTCAATTTTAAATCTATATGTACATCCACCATGACTGAACAGTTTGACTAAAATTACTATATTCTACAAATTATCTATCTTATTCATTCACTTTTCCTTTTCAAGGTCCTCTTTAATATAGCTTCTGTGGCCACTACCTTACTTCCCTGTATTTGAAACCAATTAGTTCTGTATAATCTTGATAAGTAATATGCCCCTTAATGTTGTCAACTCAGCTTATGGTGATATGCATGGGTGGTTAGACGCTTTAGAGCAGATTCAGGTTGATGCTTACCAATACCAATTTTCCTGTATTGAAAATGACTACAGCACTTCTTGAAAATAAATTTAATCAAACATTTGTTAGGAGGGATCAGTTTACTGTATTTCAATGTACTGTAATAATGCAGGCTCTACAATTTATGACACATTCTAGGAAAAAAACCACCAGAATGTGGTGTCGTCAGCTTTGTACCAACAGGTGGTTCAACGTTCCACTTTCCCCCCCCCCCCCCCCCCCCCCCCACAGATAGGTCAGAGTCCACACCTACTGTATCTCAAACACATCCACATGGATCTGGCTGAGGTATAAAAGAAATGTCACTTCTGGATGTGGAAATGGCACTTCAAAGGTCAGCTGCATCTGACTTTAAAAATAATTTCAAGTGCTGTACGTAATTCTGGAAATTAGAAGTTTATTTATACATTGCACCAAACCTCAATAAAACAGGTGCTTAGTAAAATGTCTACTGAATTGTAAAGTTCCTCAGTGAAAAAAAAAATTGAAGCTAAAAAACTCTTTCCACACTATTAAATTTCATGTGACAATAAATGTGATATATATCCATATTTGGGTGTAATATGACATCATCATGCCCATATATAGGCACATTACATTTACTTGTCACAACATTTGATAGTGTAGACAGAGTTTAAGTCATAAATTCAAAGACTGATGGATTTGGTAACATTTACAGATTCAATTTTTTTAATCTAATAATTTACTTTAGGTAAAATGAAAGAAGCTGAAAATCAAACCAATAGAATATAAATATGTGAAAAAAAACCCTTTTAATTTAGCTCAGTTTGTTAGATGGTTAGTTCTTTGCCATCTTGTGTTGTGGGCCCCTTTAACACAATCTTGCACCAATGGCCCCTTTAATTCCACAAACTGTCACCAGGGTCTCTTTAATACAGCAAGTCAGTCTTAAATCATAAAGGAATATGCTGAATTAAAAATCACATAGGCCAACTGTGTGTTTGTTAGCATTTCAAGTATGTAGCATGGAACTATTAATATAGTTTTACCATTTCCATGTTCACCCTATTACGGTTGCTTGATATGTTTGTATAAAGAGGATCCAAGGTTTTACTATCTAAAGTCAACAATGAGAATGAGCCGGTCAATATTTAGTGAAATATTTGTATAAGATATTAGTATATGTTTACTCTACAAGTAGTTCTGATAGGCTTCTACTTTACTACTGTTTGTTGGCAAACAAAATAATATGCACTATTACAATGTACAACAGATAATGATAGAGAGACGTGTACAAGTAGAGAAGCAATTTCATGCATTAAAATTCAAGCACTAAATAGGTGGATGGATATATTCGATGTAAGCACCAAGGACAACCCACAAAAGTCTGAAGAAGACTTATTTCTAGTGGGGTCCTCCTGGTTGGTGATTGGGCAGTACACTGAGAGATAATCCCTTACTCTTTTCCGAAGAGTGTACTGCCTTCTTTAACATGCACATGGGCGCACACAGGACCAATGGCTTAAACCCCTCATCTCAAAGACGGTGTGTTATCGTAACTTGCATTTCAGCCCATTCGGCTGAAATACAAGGAGAGCAGCGATGGGAATTGAACCGGGGGACCAAGAAATCTCCACGGTACAGCGCACACAGTGTGGCTACCACCATGAGTTTAGCTGACTGAGCTAAGCTGCTTTCTCCAAATAGAATAGTGAACATAAATTCCATGATAATCTTGGATAGCATCTGTGCTTTATACTCTATCATCATCATCATCATCATCCCCCTGGATTTTGAGTTCACTTGTAGCTTTTCTAGTCCAACAATATGGCAAGTTTCTACATACGGCATGTCGTCTGAGGCTGGGAGGGGCAAATTAGGTTTTTTTGTTATTAAATACGCTTTTAAAGTTCTTTAAAAGGAAAGGAAAATCCAGCTCATTCAATTTCCCACAATTCAAAGGGCTATCAATGCTGCTTCACCAGCCTCTGACTTAACAAATTACATTGTGAATGCTGTCAAGCTTCTAATGACACTATGAGTTCAATGTAATCCTCCTGTATTCAAGTTGTCAGTGTAAGCAAGAATACTCTATAAACTGTTTTGATTATTATTGTTTTTCGCAATTATAGTATGTCAATCAAACTTTAGCCTTTGATTTTTGAAATTTGAACTTTCATTTTGTAAAAATGAAATGAAATCATGAGATATAAACAGTATTGCCACATAGCCTAAAATATAATTATCCTGTAAGTTTCACGATCAGATTTTAAAGGCCAATAAAAAAAATTATTAGTTTATTAACCTCACGTCCATATCTTCTATGGTAGAGAAAAAATATATATCTTTGAAAAAAAAAATTTAATTGATAGTTAGTAGATATTGTTTGTATTATTTCAATCATGTTTTACTTTGAATACCAATGCACCAGCAAACAACCCAAGGGTGATATTCGGCTTCAGCAAAAAAATTAATTAATTAAAAAAGAGCCTCCCCCCCTCATCACTTTTCCAGCCTAGATAGGGTGATAAACTAATATTTTTTATAGGGCCTTTCTGTAACACAATTGACATGTCAACAAGACGCGAAGCCCCGCCCACAAAGTCATGAAAACCTTAGACAATGGCGGCTAGACTTACCGAAGATTTTTTTTGCTATCAACCTTCTTTAAGAGAAATTAAGAGAATCAGGGTCGGCGGTATGCAAGTGAATGATATTCATAGTGTGAATCTATTTCATGGAACATGGCGGGGAAATTGTTGTAAAAGCCTCTGTATTTCGCTCCCAAAGGAAGAGGGAAAAGCCACATTCAGTCAACCTTCTTGTCGCAAGGCCAAATCACTGATGCGCACTGCTCGTGTAAATCTGGGTATCTACAACCAAGGGCCTAGGCTCATGTATGTTTCGTGTTTAAACCAGCTGTCTAAGGAAATTAAAATGTCCAAGTAAAGGTGACTAAATGACGCTCGCTGATTAATCGGTTTTTCTGCCAATCAAATCTCGGTGAGATGTTAATTACTGGTGGTACAGCAAGAATGCTGGAGCTGAATTACTTCAATGTCTTTCAGTGTTGATAACTTGAGTGTTCTTTAAAAGTAGGATGCCTTTATTATGTAGGTCAGTTTTAAATAAGGCTATACTGTAAATGCCATTCAGCCAACAAGGTCGAAATAAGCTAAGCTGCTGTGCCCACAGGTTTGTACCTAACATGGCCAGAGCAGCTTCTAATAGAATGATATCAATTTCATAATGAATAGATCACCTTATACATCAAGTACATTTGTCATCGAAGTTGAATACATAATTTCAATATACTGAACTATAATTACAGCCAAAAAAATCAGTATCACAAGTTTATAAATAATATTTATTGTACAGTTTTTCTCATTATATTCAGATACACACAGTAAACTATAGTCATCATATCATTTAATGTTTTAAAATAGAATATTTGCTGGTAACAACCTCCATCTACACCATTTTTATTACTCTAAATCAATCACATTTAAAGGGGGTATTCTCAAATATCAAGATTTTATCTACTACAAAGTGCAGTATTTGTTTCTACTTCATCGACTGAAAGAGCACATAAAATTATCAATTTCATGTGTAGTGAGTCAAAATACCAAATTTGCGCTTGGAAAAGCATTAAATGGCTATTTTATCAAATTTGTCTTGAAAATCAATTTGCATAATGTTCGTGTATAATTGAAAAGGCTTACAACCTTCCCTCTTATTATTATCATCATTGGTAATGGCATCGAAAAAATACATTTTGATAGCACACAAGTTAATATATCACAAGAAACAAAATGAAAGAAAGCATAGCCTACATATTGAACACACTGTGAATGAAATTGATTAATTAAGATGAGTACTAACGTTAAACTCAAATGCTGCAACTCCAATGCCAGCCGCAGCTCCCGATCCAGCTAAGCCCACGAAGTGCTCACTACCGATGTTGCTCGCAAAAAGTGAAGCTCCAACCTGAAAACAGGAAAAAAAAATCTCAGTTTGATGAAACTGATTGTTAATAATAATAAAATAAATGTTGTTAATATATGAACTTGGAAGCACATGAATTAGTGGTCTGGCAAGTGTCTGTAGTAAAGGCATTTTATCCCTGATTAATAAAAATAATCTATTTGAGTTTGTTTTGCTTGTTATTTCTTTCCTATACTAGTATTTTAGGTTTATAATGTAACTACAATGTATTCATGTTTGATTTTTTCCTATTCTTTAGTAAGATTAAGTTGCATGGCAACATATCGCTGACCAACCAAAAAACACCTAGTGAATGGTCATGGTATTATATAAACTGCATAAATCGCTTAATATATAAATTATTTTTTAAAGAAAAATATAGATACTATAAAACATTGCCAGCAGATTTAATATTCCCTTTTCATAGCATCAGCACATTTTCACACTTTAATATTTGTAAAGAAAATCCTTGACTCACCACTCCCTATTTTACCCAGGCAATCATTTCCCTACATAAGGTGTGCTATATACATAATGATGTATAAATCTACCATAGTTGTGAGGCCGCCTACATTCCATATTGCAGACTGTATAACTATAACTCATTTTAATAGCCATATGGTTACCACTGTACAGTATTGGGCAGATGCTAATAAAAGGACTTTAAGGGAACACTCATCAAACTTTCATGGAATGTACTGTACAAACATAGTAAAGTAGTATTTTTTCTTAAATGTTGTTTTGTGGTTAAAATAAAATAAAATGGATTTTAGTGCACAAGGTCCTTCCTATATTACTGTACCTTCAAAAAAGTAACTCTTTTTGGAATTTATCTTGACTAATTCAAACAAAATATGAATGGATTGAAAATGTAACACAGTATTATAAAACTTACCGGTAACCAGAACATATATCGACCAGCCAGAAAATAACCGCTAACTGTACCACGGTTTGAACGACACATTGACTGCAAAATAATTGACACATTGGACATTTAATACTATGACAATTATGCTATTTTCAATCTTTAACATTTCCCTAAAATCAGCTCAAGTATCATCATATAGTACTGCAGTTTACTACAGTCTGTGACACACTGTACAAGCTGGCCAGGATAGACCTTAGTAAACTATCATAACTATATTAAACACTAGATAACACACAAGAAACCCTACCCCAAGGGCCACCATATACTAGCTTTAAGAAGTGTTACTACTCAAGGACCACCATACAAACTATCTCACAGACCGGCAGCAACATGCACACTGCAGTAGCCCAAGGACCCCCATACAAACTATCTCACGTACTAGCAGCGACATGCATACAGCACTGCAGTAGCCCACAGACCACCATACAAACTACCTCACGAACTAGCAGCAACAAGCATACTGTAGTAGCCCACAGTCCACCAAACTATCTCACAGACCAGAGCAGCGACATGCATACAGCACTGAAGTAGCCCAAAGTGCACCATACAAACTACCTCACGGAGCAGCAGCAACATGCACTGGGCCAAGGACCACCATACAAACTACCTGATGGACTAGCAGTATTATGCACACTGCAGTAGCCCAAGGACCACCATATAAATTCTCACAGACCAGTAGCCACATGCATAGGCCAAATGCAGTAGCCTAAGGACCACCATACAAACTATCTCACAGACCAGCAGCAACATGCACACTCCAGTTGCCCAAGGACCACCACACAAACTACCTCAGGGACCAGCAGCAACATGCAAACTGCATTAGCCCAAGGAGAAATAAGTTTTTTAAAAACCCCTAAAAAATAAACTTCTTCCTCCATGAGCACCCCTTTTCTCTATGAGTAGCCCAAGGACCCCTATACTATGCTCATGGACCAGTAGCATCCCAGGCAAAGTATTCATGTTGATCCAGGCAAAGTATTCATGTTGACCCAGGGTTGACATTTCTACCGCAGTCCTGGCTTTATTGAAAGTACAAACAATGTTTATTGATAAATTGTGAAGCAGCAGGTAAGAGAAGGAGTCCATAGAAAATAGAACAATAGCCCTGTAGGCTGTGCACAGTCAAGTACTGCGGAACACACATTCACTGCTAATCTTTTATTTCTATTCCTGTCACGGATGAACAGGAGTTTTCTGGCCGTGCTAAAATAAAATATTTTTAATATGAAAGAAACAGCAACACTACAAAATATTTTATTAGCGACCTTGATTTGAGTTGTGACCCATAGTTAGAATACTGGGGACTTTAACAGGCTTCTCACAACCTAGTTTTAAGTCACTGATTACTCTGATCCAGAGGTACTTTTAAATAATCATTTTTGGAAGATTCATTACTGTACTATGCTTGCTATACAACAATATGAATATTATTCCCTGAAGTATGTTATATTTTGATTTAGATCTGGGGCAGCCACAATTATTAATCTGTGATTAATCTTTTTTAAAGGTTGCTAATACAAGGCGTGTTGGGTACTATGTACACTCAATTGGGCACCATTGCTTTTGTTCAAGAAAGAGCAACACAATAGCAAAACAAAAAAAATTTTGGTTCAATGCTTATTGAAGAGAGGCAATGACTCAAGACAGGTAGTTATTTAATTATTTACAGTAGACCTAGCACAAATTCCCTTCCATTATGTACTGTAATAAGTTCTGAGAGTTCAATTGGAAATTAATACAGAAAATGTTCCTTGCCAAAATTAACAATGGACACAAATAATAGTTACTGTACTTTTGCATATAGTACTGCCAACGACACTTTGGCTGAAAATCAATTTAATGATTTTTGTTTTACTGGCCTCTAAATCAGCAGAGGTTGAACTTATTTGATCTGTGCCAAAGTAAATAACCTACGGTATGCTTTTTTGGATTCTTAATTAAAATTTTAAGGGTTGTTTTTCCAGATTTCACCACAATCAGTATGTTTATGATACAACAATTACTTCAAAAAACTGACTATTGATTTTATTTGATTTACATGTTGTAAATCTCTTTTCTGTATAACAAAAGTTGACAAAAAAGAATAAAAATAAATTGAAAACTAGAATGGATATTTCAGGAACTCTGTCCCTTTCCCAATTGTCCATAAACAATGTAATGGGAGGTATCGATCCATTCATCAGATTTCAGATAAAGTTCCCAGAACTCTTAAAAATTAACAATCTATCCTTATTATACAATCAAAGTGCAAGTTGCAGTCATTATCTACTCAAAAGTATGTCATTTACATCTGATGGTCAGTTTTAAATTACTATTAATGAGCTATGCATACTCAGTTTGTTATTAACCAAATACGCATTTACCTAAATCCTAATCAAAGCTGAATAATTTTTTCAAAATTCAACCAAAAAAGCTCTGTTTTGTACAATGTCATGCATGGTGGACGTTTAGTAAAGAGTAAATTATAAACATGATCACTACATGCAAGTATTGTAGGGTCATCACAGGTCACTGTCCTTTTTATTTCAATGGCAATAATTTTCATACCAAATTAGCATCTAATTGCTAAACATTATTTTAAGGCCAGCAAAAGTAAAGTAAATCCTTGCCAAACCACATAGCTCATACTGTAGGGCTGAAGTTTATCCCCAGTTTCTGTAGCGTGCAATGGAAGAGAGTGCGATACTCCATCTGGGTGGGATGCTGGTACGCCGCAGGTTTACTCCCAGCAGAATGCTGGTACCCATTGATACAGATGGGTAGATTGAAGCAATGTACAGTAGATAAAAAATGTTGTCGTTCTCAAGGTTGGGAAACCAAACCAAATTCCTCTGCACAGAAATATTTAGTAAAAGCCGAAAGATTTAGATGTGATGCACAGAATACAGAAGGCCAGCTAAACCCTGTATGGTAACCTTTTAATATCTGAGACATTTTTCTATTATATTTGTTTATAATATTTTCACTTTTCATTCAATAATTAAGAATTTACACAGTAAATCCCTATAATTGGAAAAGCAGAGAGTGGTAATTAAATTATTAAAGTTGACCAACTGCAAAGCATGAAATGCTCTGAATCATCAACTGTTATGGATTAATTTATTATAAATACACTTTTTAAATATACATTAACATACAGTACACATCAGAGTTTTATCTACAGTACGAAGTCAACTATTAAATTTTAATGGAGTCACAGTGTGAACTGACCTCAGAAATGAACTTAGCATCAGCATCAAATTTTCTCTAGAAGCTTAAAATCCATGTCTGCAATTGCAAGTGAGATTGGATGGTAGTATGTTGCAATTTTTTCTTTTACTTTTTGACATGTTTTTTGTTTTTTTGTTTATTTTTTTAAATTTATTTATTTATTTGGTATAAATACTTAGAAACAACAAAAATTTTGATAAACCCCAAGTTTACAATAATTAGACAATTAAAAAAATAATAAAAATCTATAAAAAGTCATATTAGATAAAAATTATGGATGCAAACAAGCACCCCAAAAAAAAAAAAAAAAAAAAATGAAAATGAAAATCTGAAAATACATGAATAAAAATGAGCCTAAATATGGATTGATTGCCAAGTGTTTCCAACATGTTTAGTCGAGCTCATTAAGTAACCTAGAAAGCACTGGAATTGTTGACTTTGCATAATGTGAAGTTTTGCATCAATTTAGAAATTTGAGCAATAAACTAGAATTTTTTCCCCAAATCCTTTGCGTGAATATCGGTAAGTCCTACTGCATGTGTTACTTTGTATAAACCAATCTTGTAAATTTTGACCCTTACCCCATGTTTTTGTGCACTTTCATAGGATTCTAATTTTATTTTAATATTTATTCTTTCTTTCGACTGGATAGCATTTTCAGTAGCGCTGCACTGCTTTTCAAAATGGTCCAGTAAAATATTAAACAGAACACAAAATTATCAAAAATGTTAAAAGAGAAAAGTAAAATCCAAATGTGACCCAAGCTCACAACAGGGCTGTAAACTCGTCCTCAGGCCAAAATGAGTTTTGTTATAATGGCATAGAACATATCATTTACTTTAAAATGACAGTAAATGAACTCAATCGGGTATCTGGAAGCAAAGTTATGACCGTTTGAATAATTATCATCTTATCATCTACGGCCTATTCTGGCTATGGAGGCTTGTTTCTCAATACAGTGCGGTGCGAGTTTACAGCCCTTTTGTGAGCTTGGGTCACAAATTATACATGGCACGATAAATTTAAAGTATTAAATTTGTACAAATGGTATTTTTCAAATTGACTATAGTCATATTAGTTGCATTTTTTCTGATTTCATTTGGCATATTATTCCAAAGTTTGGCTGGTTGGTATTGAAAGGTTAATTTTCCTTGAGTATTTTCCCAGATTGGTACTACTAAGGTTTTACTGCTTTGACTTCGAGTGCATTTGGGATTAATACCATCATTAAATATAAACATTGAAGATAAATATGATGGTGCATACTGTAACCATGAAAACACTTAAATACAACTACAAGTAAATGTTCTCTCCATCTTCCATTTATTGGTTTCCAGCTTAATGTATCTAATATATCACTTATTGGAGTTTTTAAATCTACAGATAGAAGAACTCTACCTAATTTGTTTAGTAAAATTTGAAGTGAATTTAAATTTTGAGTACTACAGTTTGACCAGACTGAACTGCAGTAATCAAAAACTGGTATTACAAGTGCATTCACCAGCATATAAGGGTATGAAGAGGTAAATAATATTTTATGAGACATATAACACCAATTCGCTTTGATACCTTCGTTGAAACATAATTTATTTGATGCTTCCATGTTAATTGAGGATCAAAAATAATACCCACGTATCTAAATGAATCTACTCTTTCAATGAAGTCCCATCATGTACAATTGAAAGATCTTTAAAGTTATTTAATATGTGATTAGTACCAAAAACTATGAGTTTAGTTTTCTTATTATTAAGAGTTAATTGGTTTTTATTCAACCATTCAACTATTTTATTAAAATTAGTATTTAAATTATTTTGGAGTGTTACAGGATCAGAGGAGCTAAACAAGAGCAGTATCATTTGCATACATTATGCACTTACATAAGACAACATCAGGGAGAGAATTTACATAATAAATAACAAAGGTCCCAAAATTGAACGATGAGGGATTCCAATGTCAATTTTGTTTGAATCTGAAAGCAAACCATTTATACAGACTACTTGGGATCTTGAACTTAAGTAGGATTTAAACCATTTCAGAGGTTCACCATCAATTCCAATATCTGTAGTTTATCCAGAAGTAACTTGTGGTTTACCATATCGAATGCCTTTTTTAAACCTAGAAATATGGCAGCAGTTGCTTTGCCATTGTTAAAATTCATTCATTAACATCGCATCATGAAACAATATTAATAATTATTATTATTAATTATTATTAATATTATTATTATTATTCTTATATTACATATAAACTATTGTTGTTTTAATTACACTTCTGCTGAGTGTCTGATATAGATAGGCTAAGACGAGTTGTTAGACATGCTGGCAAAATCATGCAGTTAGATGTAGATTTCGACATGATATTTATGAAACGTATTATAGACAAAGCAGAACAAATTATAAAAAAATAAAGATCATACACTATACCACTACTATAACTGGTTACCCTTTGGTAGAAGATTAAGGTCTATATGTACAAAAACAAACAGATATAAAAATTCATTTGTTCCCTCCTCTATCAGGCTCTACAATGAGTCCGTATACAGGTATAGGATTAAATGAACATTAGTTATCTTAGGTTTTTAAACTTGGAAAATTGCTTTTAAATGGTTTTATTATATTCTTCCAGAGTTAAACATCTGAAAGGTCATTATATGTAAACATAAATTTTAAATCTAAATTCTTCTTTCACATTTTAATGTATTAGAATGCCACATTTTTATTTTCCATTATTACTGTGTGTACAATTTTTTTATATTTTTTTATATTTTTAAATATGCAATGAATTGTTTCCGCTCTGCTTTGACTTTTTAAAATTGGACAATAAAAACTAAATGAAATGAAAAAATGATATGAAAATTTCATATTATAAATGAACTATTAAATTAATTAAATTAAATATTAAATGAAAATATTGTATTTGCATTGCAAATTATTGCTATAAATTAGTTCTAATTCTACTGTAATTAATTATGTCAATAAAAATACAATTATAAAGAATTGTATGTCATCGATATATGAAAACATGCCAAAAACCCCTATTAAGGGACAATTTCATGTTTTTGTTAGTGTCCCCTTAATAGGGGTACCCCTATTCAGGGGACACCCCTATAAGGGGACACTTTTTTTGGTCCCGAAGGTGTCCCCTTAATAGGGGTTCTACTGTATTTTATATTTAATGAATGTTACTGTTGTAAGAGTGTGTTGTCAGAGGAAAAAACTGCAATTAAGTTTGCTTTTTGTTATACTGCCACTGACACGAGTATGTCCTTTCTGTCTTTATGTCTTATGTATTTTAAATTTTTGGTGAATAAATTAAATGAAGTGTGCCAGCCATCCATAGCAAAGAGAAAAATAAAAAGATACAATAGTGTCTTCTGCTGCTTTATTGCATAACAACTGGTGCTAGGTTTATTGCATCTCACTATAAACACTAGCAGTTGCTCAAATAAACTATATTCCTATATTCACGAACCGTTTATCTATCACATATATTTCTATTGTGATGGCCCTGTTTAATTTCCAGTATATAATTTTATGTTACTTTATGGTAACCATACACTCAGATAAAGGAATTTTAAGGAGCATATCCCAGACGAAGGTGAATAAATTTAATTCCATCTCAACGGCTGCCATGAATTATTGATTCCTTTCTCCATCTTATTTGCTTGAATTATAGATATATGTGGTAAGTCTCACGTTTATTATGCTGTCTTGACCCTGCCACTGATTATCTTCATTTTACTATACCTGTACATATGTTTTAACTTTGACTAATGAAAATTTGTATATAAGTTATAACTGTACATATGTTGCCATGATCTCTTTCTGTTGCTATCAAATGTTTTGGCCAGGCATTTGCTGTAACAATATACAAACGTTAACTCACTCCAATTTGATCGTAAGTCCCCAAAACTTTCATGCAATTTCACAGTCTCTCGAATTTTCAGAAAATAACCCCCAAGAAATATAAGAAACAACTAACTTTATGTGTGTAACCGACCTCAAAAGAACACTTTTAAAATGATATCAGAATGACTGCATGCAAAGAAAATTACATTTTCAACATTTCAGGGGTGGGGTCACACTTCTTGAAATTGTCTGATTTTATAGTTTTATAGTTTATATTTTTCATCATGTTTTTATATTATTTGTGTCACTCCAAGCACATTTCAAAAGAATTTTTCTGCATAATATAGGCCTAGATTCAAGAGAATTACTAATGTTTTGCAACAAACTTCAGTAACTAGTAAAGCATGTAAAACTCCTTAATATCACAAAAATTTGAGCACTAAAGGTAACAGTTTACTTTACTCATAAGGATGGAGGTACGTATACAGTACTGTACCTCCAATGTCCATATACTGTACTGCTGAACTGTATCCAGGGTAGCTAGAGAAGATTGGGAGATACAACAACAGCCACCAAATGACAATGTGGCATCATTATCATACGGCCGGTAACCTTGTGGATGAACACACGAAGCTAGTTATAAACAACATATAACAATTTACTACAAACACATTAATATTAATAAACTTACATATAAGCCAGCTGCCAATACAAGTATAACATACACCACAATTGCAACATAATCCCAGTTTTCAAGGCGGTTTTCCATCTTGATATTCTAAGAAACGTACAGCCCTGTCTAAAGTGTTGTTTCCATACGAGCGAACTATTCGAGCGGATCGAGTGGTGATCGAGGGTATCGCGAGCTTATCGAGAGTATTCCACAAGATTTCTTGCCGCTATGGAACGAAAAAGGGGAAATAAGAACTCTGAAATAAGTGAAGTCGATGTGCGGAAATTTAATGCAGATGGAAATTCTCTGATTTTCGAGCATTGCACAGAGTCAGCGAAATAGCAGGACAATCTCAAATAAATTATATAAAGGTCACTCTAAAACTTGGCAAGGCTACTTTAAAGCCCCATTCCCGGCAACATTTTACTAAAAAAAGATTTTTTTTTTGAGAAAAAAAATGCATGCATTACTCTAATTATTAGGGGCTATAAATCATGAGAAAATATGGTATAAATTTTAGTTTTTCGAAAAAGAATTAAAAAAAGAGAGAAATACAGACTATTTCTCACAGGAGATTACCATTTTCTCGACGAATTCTTCGTTACTAGGAAAGTTTAGATGTTGTATATCGCATGCGCATCCGCTGCAATGCTCTCTTTACTTTATGTTTATTTTTAATTGATGATCTTTGTAATTTATTTTTTAAGTTTTAGTTTAAGTATTGTAGTTCCTGAACGCACCGCCAATACAATACAAAGATACAAAAGTCAAACATGAAAATTCATCCTCATTTATTTTTTGTGTGGAACACAATAAATCAAATTTCAGTCTTATTTTACTTTTTTTTTCATGTTTAGGAATGTATAAATTCAGTTAGCAATTTCGTATTATATTTATAAATCTTTATAACATTATAAAAAAAATCAGATTTTTCTTAACAACTACAATTTTGCCGGGAATGGGGCTTTAATCGACGTTTCGCTTTAATCATGAATACCTTTAATTAAAGCATTATCTGGATGATTAAGATGATGATGACGTCAAGGGCTGATCCGGCCCTTGACGTCACGGGAGACACGCCCACAAATACAAATCAATGTTATGTGCTACGGTACTCGCTTATCTATTCTGAAACAGTTGTGCCCAGCCCCCGTTTGGATTATGGATCCGCCCCTGTATACGTGGCCCTCACGGAATAGAAAATACAGAATGTTACGGCAGATAAAGCAAAAGGAAGAAAAATAGTCAGGATATAGTAAGGACACCTGCGCCACTCTTAGCATTAAAATGGTGCTTTAGAAAGCCAGAAGACTGAGACCGGTCGGCAGAACAGTAGCAACAATAAGAAACTAACGAGAATGAACACTGACAACGGACCATACGATCACTGAGAGAGTAATGGAAGCGATTGCATAGAGCCGACCTATATATATTCATAAAGCTTTTAAGTCAGGTTAATTTTATACCCGAAAATAAATTCATAATAATTCTTAATTTCATTTCTCTCAAAAGATTTTGGCGTCCCATACTCTATTTCAATTTATTAATTCGCTCGGTGGTGACGCTGTCCATGTTTACGACGAAGAACTTTAAAGAAGGCTGCTTGTTTACAAACTATTTGAATGGAACGATGGTTCTATCCTTTAATATATTGCTTTGTATTTGTTTCTGCAAACTCTGTAAATAAGGTAAACAAGAGCACAATTCAGTGTGACCCGCATTTAATTGGCTTTAATTACCTAGGGCCTAGGCTACTATATAGGGCAGGCCTGGTTGGGCCAGTGAAGAAAAGAGCTTGCTTGTGTGCTGTTAGCGTAGGCCTATCTATACTGACGATTGTAAATGTAGGCCTAGGTAAGACTGACCTTGCTCGTGTTATGCCTAGCAAGGCCTTATAGTGTAATAGCCTAGCTGGCCTCCTAAGCATATATGTACATTTTCTAGGCAAGATAGAATAGGCCTAAAAACAGCCTGTCTAGCCTAGCTAAGTAGTACTACTAGTAGTAGTAGTAGTAGTAGTGGATCATGTGCTATCCAACATGGAGTTCGGGTATGCAGCTGAGACACCCATGGGGCACGGTCTGTGGATGACACCAGTCCTTTTGATGGCACTTGATCCCAAGTGTTTATAGTACTATAAATAAATTAAATAAATCAGCATTGCAATTTACTTTGCAGTATGTATTGTCAGTGTTGCGCTTCACCTTCCCAACTCTGTTTCAAGGATGGCAGACTCTGGTTGGATTCCTCTTGCTTGGTTGTATATCAGTATTGGGACACTTCAACTTCACCCCACCATCAAGGTATTCTTTGGCATAGGCATACCCTTTAGTGGACATTTAGTGGTTTTAAAAGTGACATTTTTACATTATTTTCTGAATCTTATTGGTTTTATTAAAGATTTATGTTCATCTTATTTTGCATGTTGCAATTTTATCCTGGGCTTGTGTAGTTTGTGGTACAGCCTTACATTTTTTGTTTTATGTGTAATAATAATTTTTTGTTGTTTTATGTTTAATACTGTAATAATATTTATATTACTCTATAGTTATTTGTTGGGAACCCATACTGAAAACAATTTCACCAGCATAAAGGGATATATCCATAATATCTTATTGTCAATGTATTCTTTCATGATTTGAAATGATTTATTTTGTTGTTATAAAATGCCAATTTTTTATTGATATTGATAATAATAAATAATATACTTTTACTATACTGCATACTATAATACTGTGCATGTACAGAGTACTCCTAAATGTACACACTTAGTGAAACATTTCAAAATCAATATTAATTTGTTTAACAGAGGAGTAGTGTTTCCTTGGATACCAGCAATCGTGTTGTTTGTTCTTAGCATCTACAGTGCATCCAAAGCTCTCTCAAAGTTGGTAGGTTATATTTCTTAGAAGTTTGCATTTTAGGTTAAGCATTTGAGATGGTGGGGGGGGGGGGTTGCATAATTTAAGTTCAGATAAGATACTCCTGTGTTTTATTTCTCTTATTTCGAATGACAATTTAGAGTATCCAAACATTTAGAACTATTAGTTAGACTACGTTAGTCTACATGATGTAGCAGCAAAAACTGTCTTCATTCAGAGGTAATTAAAGATTCATTGTCATAAAAACTAAGAAAATAATAAATTAATTAAAACATTGAAGAGCTAATTCTAATGTATAAATTCCAATCAGACATAAATTAAGACTTATATTTTTACAAAACATTTTATAGAACTATCCAAATAATTTTAGGACAGTATTATATCAGGGAGTTCATTATATTTTATTTTAGTTTTAAAATGTATTATATAAAATAATCCCATATGTTGACTGCTTACTTCGTTAGTCACTTATGATTAATGGAGGCCTATATAATGACTTTTCATATCAGAGATTACTTAAAATATTTTCCATTCTGCCATACACCTATTTTCTCTAGCCTGTTCCTATATTTTGTGTTCTGCATTCAAGTACTGAGATAATATTAGCTTGTGGTGATTGGCTGATCTTCCGTGGTATATCTGGTTCGTTGAACCAGTTCAGGTACTTTATAAATAATTATAATAATTAAACATACCTTACTAGTGACTAGTCGCTCACCCTATCGGCGACAGTCGCCAATCAACTTTCCTGATTGCATTGCAGATGAATCAGGGTGCATTGCTAGCTGCCCTGACACAATCGGGAAGTCACCCCGATTCGTCTGCAATGCAATGGGCAAAGTATGGAAACCAAGATTTAAAGTGCTGTCTTAAACCACTTGTTAGGCAGAGCCCTTAAGTCAGCTAGGCATTTTGTTGGATCAATTTAAAATTCAACTTAAATGATGAATACATACCAAAATATATTGTTTAAGCCTCTTCCCACTATAACCAAATCCTGACATTTTTCATTTTATGTAATTTTTAGGATTTTACAGCCTTTTGCATTTTTCTGTTCAAAACAAAAACCTTTTTCTTTTAATTTTAGTTTGGTCCTTATAATTCTCTCATGTGGCTTGGTTTGGCAGTCAGATCCTGAGGTAAGTTAAAAAGACTATTTAATTTATTTATTTTATTACAACATTTCAGGATTATACTTAATCATGATTGAATATTTTTCCTCTATCTTTTTGAATTTTAAACATAATATTATTTCTTATTTAGGACACTTTAATTTACAAGCTCTAGAGTTTTTTTTTCTTTTTTATCATTTTATTTTATATTTCATTCATGCCTTTTCTGTATTTTGATTTGATTGATGATAAATAAATTTGAAGTTTGATGTAATAACATTCTTTTAAAACTACCTGTATTGTACATTAATTAACCTAATACTGTACATTATTTTATAATTTATTTTATATTTTTTGGTGCACCATAAATTAAATGATTTTGCTGTTGATACTCACCATGCAAACCTTCAGGAAATAATTGTGTTAAACATTCATATAATTTTTCCATTATTTATAACCTGAGTTCTGTGATTTCTCCTCTTATTAATTAAAAATATGTAATATAAAATTGCCATTGCCAATAAAGAAATAAATGTTATTGATTTTAAGATTTGATACTGGATTTGTGTTCACATTCGCCATTCTCTTCCTCCCAACAGGTTGATATGTATGGCTACATATGGATGGCTAGCCATGTCTTGTCATCAGGACTGTATTCTATCATTACCACACTAAAGCGGTCACCACAGTTCAGGTACTAATTCTGTCTGTGTTAATTATACTTCTTACACAATACTTGGTAACAATATTCAAAGACTGACAAGAACAGATAGAGAAGAAAAGAGTTCTGACCAAAATGATCTGTCTGTTTGTTAGTAAAAAAAGAATATATTAATAATTTTATTAATGTGCCAGTATTGTTGTCATGGAGTAAAGAATCTTTAATCAACTCTAATCTTTTCTCTTATACACATCTAGATGTGTATAAGAGACAGAGATAGAATAGGCCTAAGAGTGGAGTTGAATAGCTCAGTGATTAAGATGCTTGCATTCTGATCCCAGTGTCCTAGGTTCAATTCCTGTCTATATATTTTTATATAATATAAAATATATAAAAATCCTCTGAAAATTTATAGGAAACAATGAGAAGGGCTTTATCATTGGATATACTATAATATCAAACATACAGCGAAGTCGAGTGGCTGGGTGGTGAGATAGGGGTGCTGCTAACAACGGCATTAATATTGGTTCTGGTTTTACAATCCTCTCCTTAGAGGGTCTCAAAGTTATGCACATAAGTATTCTGAGCTGTATAGGGATTATTGTATTATAGGGATTGGTAGGCCTACTTCCCTCTAGTTATACATATAATTATTCTGAGCTCAGATATTATAAGAAATAACGAAAGAATAATGTTCTTCTTTTGTTTCCTCCTTCCAAGTGAATTTGATAAGCTGCTATACAACTACCTCGGTAGTGTCATTATATTAGCACCATCAAGCATTATATTAGGTACGTACCAATATCATATCTCAGTCAGTTTATCTCTCCTCTTCTGAAGGGAAAGAAAGGGATTGTGACTCTAATTCTCTGTTCGCACTGTCAAATTTTGTGCTACAAATTTGTGTGATGTGCCCATATATGGGTGTGATGATGTCACCTAATTATTAGGCATATCACAATTTGATGGTGTGGGGACAGAGCTTAAAATAATACAGTATTAAACTGACTTGTTTGATGATGCAACGTTAGAACGTATTCACTCATGCGCGACCGTTCTACGGGGGGGTCCTACGTTCTCTGCATACGTAGATTTGGCCAAATTGCGTCCTAGAATCCACGCAATGAGGAGAACTTAACATTCTTGCATGTGCAAATGACTTTTAGTGATGGCATTACATTCTGCTTCCTACCGTCGACGTGCAGTCGAATGCTCCCTGTTTAATAATACAGTATTATACTTGCTACTAATAATCCTTGTACAGTACTGCCCTGCTATGACAAAAGGAAGTAAATGACATTTTTTCAAGAATGAGACTTCAATATGAATAAAGCAATAATCGTGCACATGTCAAGCTAAACAATTTTTGGAAATTCCTAATAATTACTTAGTAATCAACAAAACAAAAAGGAAGTACATTCAATTTCCAAGGGAAAATGCGTCACAAAATGAAGCTTTGGACAACCAACTGCCTCCCATATCAACCAATCAGGAGGCAGATTTCATGCATGAGTTACTGTACACAATAATAAAAGTAATATTGTTATATGCAATTTACAACTATAAGCATTTATGTGCATAAATTTTACTAATACATAATGTCCTTTCAAACATGATTTTAAATGAATTACAATATCGAACAATCTAAAATGAATTTCAAAAATGTGTGCCAGTAAAATAAGTTACTTTAAATGTAAATATGGTTTTTTTTATGAATTCTGAATAAATTGTTAAAAATCTACAACTTTCTTTGATTTCTTCTTTTTGTTATGGTCATTTGTAAAATCACTAGTAAAAAAAACTACCAGAAAAGGTAGTACATGATATATTGACACTAAAAAATAATATTTTGCATTTTTCTCATAAGATATCTTAAAAGTATAGTGTGTAAACTATAAAACCCATAATATCAACATCAAAGTGCTATTGCTTCCTTTTGTCATGGCATTATGTTTGTTATTTATCATACTGGAAGTCTTTCCGAAAGGTCCACTGGTTAATCTCAGATAAGATAGTATAATACATACTCCAAGTATCGAAATGCACGCCATCGTGTCGGGATTAAATATTTCGACATTAATTATGTCATCATCAGGAATGATGACATAATTAATGTTGAAATATTTAATCCCGACACGGTGGCGTGCATTTCGATACTTGGAGTATGTATTATACTATCTTATCTGGAAGTCTTTCCCTTTTGTAAGTCAATTATTAAAATTAATATTTGTGAATTTAGGAGATGTTGTAGCAGCTCAGCACTTCCCCCACTGGTATCTTCATAAATTCTACATTGGCTGTTTTTTGAGGTAAATTATCTGCCACTTCTGCAAACATATAATATAGGTATCACAAGGAGAAATGAGCTTGTCCAGCTATGTGACTTGGCAATAGAAAATGTTGATGATAAAAGTATTCAGGTTACTGATAGTTAAATTGACACGCATCTTCTCTCCCCCCCCCCCCAACCTCCAAAAAAAGAAAACTAAAAAAATCTGTTATGTAGAATTTGAGACTAAATATTAGTTGTAACATAAACTATGTTATATGTTGAAAAGCCAAATCCACATCACACCATCAAACCCATGTTGAATTATAACGGGTTTTACAGGCTTTGTGGTTAAAAATAGTTACCAGATAATCACTGGTCATGAAATTAACAAAAATGGAAGTCTAAATTTCCAACAATCAGAGGAATATGAAAGTATAAATCTTGTACATTAGTTATACACAATATTATTATTTTCGTTGTAACCATGGCAATGTATTTGTATTTCCAGTGGGATTCTTGGAGGCACACTGGGACTACTGACAATTCACCTTAGCAAGTCAATGGGAGCTTACCACTTCAAAGTGGTCTTGGTTATTAAAAAATTCCTGACGTTTTTCACTAGGATTATTGAATGCAGGAGCTTGGAATTGGAAGGCAAATATACTGGTATTACAGTGTGTTACTCGTATACTCGTAGACAACAAAACATTTTTTTTTTTTAAGTTATTTATTAAGTCACTTATGTCTGGCCAGACAAAACCTTTGGGTACTTGTTCCTCCTTTGTTCTGACATCATCCTCTTTCTTTTTGAATGATTTTGTAAATTTGGAGGATATAAAGGCATTATTATTAATTGTATTTGTAACTAAATATACAGGCATTCCATTCAACTTACTAAAGCATTTATCTGGCAGAAACATACCAGACAGATCTTTATATTATACCTGTACAGTATTTCTTGTGTTTTATAAATTTTGCCTGCACAAACATCCTATGAGATAACACATACCTGCCATGCCATGTAGGACCAAATCACACTGATGCAAGGTGGCAGCCAAGAATACTACCAATCCACAGCTGTTGGACCAATTGTACGATTACATGATGGCAGCCAATGTAACTACCAATCGACAGCTGTTGGACCAATTGTACTATTAAATGATGGCAGCAAATGTAACTACAATTCCACAGCTGTTAGACCAATTGTACCATTACTTGATGGCAGCCAATGTAACTACCATTCCACAGCTGTTGGACCAATTGTACCTTTATATGATGGCAGCCAATGTAACTACAGTACCATTCCATAGCTGTAGATGTTTTGTGCAATTTCAAATGCTCACATGCAGTGATAATAGCCAATATATTCTGATATCAGTGAGTGTGTCTGCCATCGCCTTGCAACAGTCAAACCCAGTATGTTTACATTTGTATTAGTTGGATGAATGCAACTGCCTATTAAACTATTAAATGATCATGTGTGACTGCCATTTACCTATCAAATTGTTTTTTGTTTGTTTTTTTTTATTAGAATATTAGTATGTACTGTACCTGTGTGGGAATACCAGGCCTCTTTCCTCATGTCAGGGGTGAATGTGACTGCCTAAACCTATTGTATGATCATGTGGAACCATTTGTTTAACCTATCAAAATTGTTGTTAGTGTACAAGTCAGAATGTCTTTAAATGTAAAGAGTTAATGTAATGAGCAAGTTATTCAGTAAGTTCGTGAGCAGGGGTGGGCATTATTAAAATTGGTCGGAGGGCCAAAGTGAATTTTTGATTGAACGCCGAGGGCCGCACGCAAACTTTGATGTTACAGTGCACTTCCAAAAACCTTCATACTGTTTTATGGCCACTTTAGGCACAGTTTTACTATTACTGTTTACAGATGATTGGTCAAACAGGGTAGGGCTTGTAATTCATTTTCACGGGCCGCAAAAAAATCACTGTCGGGCCACATTTTGCCCACCTACAGTATGTTAGTAAATACATAAATTATGTATATCACAAAGTGTCCATGAGTTTGTGACCATATGACGTAACACCATGGTTGAAGCATGGAGGATTAAACAAAACTTCTTCCTCCATGGCTGAAGAAAGTTAACCAAATTGCTGTTATTTTTGTTGAAATTCATTTAATTTGGTCAGTAAATGTATTTTGAAATGAATTAGCTCTTTTGCTCCTTAAGTTGGGGTTCCAGGCAACCATGTCTGGAGACCAAGTTTATTCCGACAACAGGAATCATCTGGCTTGGGTGACCCTACTTAGTACTGGAAGCACATTCATCTGCCAGCATAGCTACTAGGGCAGGAAAGCCTTGCTACCTACCAGACTGTAGGCTTAGGACAATCAGAGGAAACTATTAATGCAGTTTACCTCATACAAGACCCTAAGCCTAATTAATGAAATACAATAAAATTTAATTCTTCAATTGCATGTTTTGTAAGTTATTAAAATATTTTCCTCGCCAATCACAAACGTACAAATTCAATTCAGTGCTGGCACTACGATCAGTTCAACAGAGATCAGCATGGTCTAGGGACAAGGCCAAAGGATAAGCACCCTTCATTCATTTCACCCTTGACGCCGCCACCGACACCATTTTCCCTTTTTATAATTTAAATATTTTCATTCTACAGTTCGCCCTGCAATTTGAGACCTTTAATTTAAAGACCCCTTTTTTGGAGTACCAACAGATTGTCCTAAATCTTTTAACAGAAGGACCACCCCACATTTTCAGGTCCTAAAGGTGGTCTTCATTTGGAGGGCCAATTGTAAATCAGCAAAAAGTGAATGTTATAGATTTGTGTCAGAAGTTAATAACTTGCGTGATCCTTTGAAATGAGCTTTGTTCTGTTTTTGTATACGCAAACAATTTAATATCTGATATGTTGTTACTACTGTACTCACTTTTTTGTAAAATAAATGAAACTACAAAAAAATAATCGATAGTATTGAATTGTGATTTTTATTCCCATACATTGTTTTGATACTAACATGATCTGAAATGATAATTCATAGATAGAGTGGGTAATAATAATAATGATGATAATAATAGTAATAATATTAACAATGGTAATCATAATAATACCAAAAAGTAGACTATTATGCCCTATCACCTAGGTTGGATTACATCTATTTTCTAATTCTTGAGAAAAAAAAAAAATTAAAGTTCAAAGGTTGTCATTTGCTACGTTATGGTTACAATAAGCTACGAGACTGAATCTTGACTAGAAATGCTAACAAAGGCCCTGTTTACACTTACTGAAATGGCCGGCCTCGTCTTTGCATAAGTGTAAAAGCACAAATACGAGCCAACCCAGTTTCATTCTGAAATCGCAACGCCAGCTATTTAACATCATGAGTGTAAATGGAGACCGAAGCCATTTTAGCAAGTGTAAACAGGGCCAAAGATGGATCATTTATTTTTGTTAATAAACCAGCGTATATACTAAAATTGTACAAATATGTAATTATTCTGGATTTTTAGTTTTAATTAAGTTTTGCTTTGTCGTCGTCATAATTATCTTCCATATCATCTGTCATATATTAAATGGTCATATATGAAACTGTCATATATGAAACATCAAAAGATTGAAGCTATATAAACTCACAATCACTAGTTGACCGATAAGTAATTTTTCATTTTTAAAACTTTTAAAATCATTTTTAATTCAAAGAGAGTCCTACATAAAAACACTATATTATTCTGTACATGGTAACATAAATCAATTATCAATTTGTAGTACGTTAAATACATATGTATATTCACAACTTAATGTCTATACTAACTTTTTTATCCAGTCCAAATAACATGGTATTTCTTACATATTGCTAGTAGGTACTGTATGAGTACCTTTGTTTTTCTCCATACCAAGTTTAATGTCATATGTTAATTAAGTCTATCCATGACCGGTTTGCATATATAGTAGAAACTCTTTATCTCCATGTTTTTATAACCAAATTCCACAAACACCATACAAAACACAAATGGCGTTTCAAAGGTGTGTTCACACAAACTTTGTTTTTTGATTCAAAATCTTCAAACTAATGTAATTATTTAACAATCTCCTATGTTTCATACAAATTGATAAAACAAATAAATGTACAATTTATAATGGACAGTAACATACAATTCATAAATCCTACAATTCAGTTCAAGTTTCGCCTGTGAATAATACATGGCAGATTCCTGGCCTAGATTCCATCCTTAAAAAACAAAACCAACTAGACTCTGGGAGTTACATGATTTGTGTGGCCAGCTTCCCACGCAATTTATAATACAGTAATACTCTTCAACATACATGAAAGGTATATGTTAAGGTTATTAGCTAGCCGATACAAACATAATCATAACAAAAAAGAGAGATAAGTCAAATGCACAAAAACACTGAAAAGTAACTAATGTATCAGTATAATAATTTAAACAAAAATTCATTCCACTGAGTAAAAGCACCATTGACAAAAGAACCACACACCTAAAACAAACACAGTGATACATTTAGGAATTTTCTATATGTGCATCTATACTGTATTTAGCTGAGAAATGTCTTGTGGCTATAAATGCTTCTAATTATTTAAAAATGGAATGTTATACTACAATTATAACATTACCCAAAATCAAAGTTGTAAGATTAATAATTCTATTTAATAACCTAAAGAAATATATTTGGTTGCATAGCGACATATATCAGATATAAATAAATAGTGCAAGAGCAATTATGTCATAACCAGATCAGATAAATAATAATTAATATATATATATATATATCTTTTGTTGATTATTTGATATAGGTAGTGCATTATTTGGAAGCTACAGAACTTATATTGTGGTATTAAAACAAGCTAGAATTATCATTGGTATTACTATCATGGATAACTAGAAATAATCACATACAGAAATAAATACATCATACAAGGGATATGAATAAATGCATCAGTAGGTTAATAATAGCAATGGATGCAAAATTAATTTGTAATAAGTAACTTGTGGACGTTAATCTAATGAATATACACATACATTGGCAACACATGTAAATGGATACATTTATATTTTAAATAATCTATTTAAAAATAACAATAACAAATAGAACCATCGCTGAAATAATTGGGTTTTGTTGAGAAAAATGCTTCTCTGGATGAATAGTATTTTAATAATCAAGGAAACACCATCACATGTCCAGGCAAGGCGTCTAAAAGATTTTGTACATATATGGAGGGTGGAGGGACAATACTTATAAAAGCACACCTTGGTAACTCTTTCCCCCTCTGCTGGCACAGATCATGTCATCCTGTGTCATTTGCACACTATTTTCATAAAAACTGTGGAAGTCTTTTCCCAAATTCAAACATTAGAATATACTAATTATCAATAATTGTCAAATACAAACTTGTTTTCTCATGAAAATGAGATTATGAAACTTGATCACATATATACTATAGATTAGTTGATAAACAGATATAATGAAATAAATCTTTTTAAATATTTAACATTTTGTTCATGTCTGGAATTCAGCTTCCCAAAACCTCTTATATATACATATATTATTTACTATTAATATATTATATAATTAATTTATAGTGTATTGAAACTCTATTTATGAAAGAAAATTATATTACACTGCATAACATATTAATGTAAAATGGGAAAAAAAGTACAGTATATGATGTACCATTGTAATTATGAACTAATTGTAAATATTCATTGGTTTAAAATGAGGTGCTATGTACACTGCTGGTTGCACTTTGATATTCTCTCCACTATCTTGTGAATATAAATAATCTGAATACAATGTGAATAGCTATTAAAGTGACTTGCCAATTACGACAAAAAAAATAACAATTTTCTACCAGTAATAGAAAAGTAAATATTTGCATTAAGCCTTAGATTAGAATTCCACATAAGGAAGACCATATTTTAAATAATTATTCAAATCAACAAATAATTAAAAATGCATTTTAAAGTTTAAAACAATAAACAAAAATTAACAAACCTTAAATTTTATCTATATGGTAAAAATAATACATGATGAAAAAAATTTGTATAGAATACAATATTAGGTTGGTGCTTATGTTATAGCTTTGGACTATATATTTTAATTGTTTGGCCCTAACGTCTAAAAACCAGTACATTTAACATATGCAAAATCAAATAGGTCTACAACATCAATCATTTTATACAAGCATTTGAAAATTTAACAATATTTTCTTGTTTTGCCCCACAGGCCAGTATGTCTTATGCTATGCATCATCCACTCATCTCAACACATTACATCTGTATTGGGCTTTTATATCATAAGTTATATAAATTTGACCAAACATATCTTGTAATACTACATCATGTCAGATATATTATGTATTTATTAATACAGTATTATAAATTGATTTTTTTTTTCTTTTTGTTTTTAATTATAATTTGAATCATGGTAAATAATGCATAGGCACAATGAACGTGGCATGTTCTTTGTCTTCCCACTAATTAAAACTTCCACTGGGAATTAAATAGGGAAGAAATCAGATAAATCCATTATCCGGTATCCCTACCAATCCATACAGTTCACATCTTAAAAAAACACAATCAACGTTGCCCTCCCCATAAGCAACTATTTAACAAAGGAAGTCTTTGTTTTTAGCAAATATATACTAGTACTTAAGCTGAGTTTATTTTCAGAGCATGTTTTTTCTCTTTAAATCACTAGCATGCATAAAACTTATAATGGCTGACTCAACTGACAACATCTAAAATCTTGGAAATTTACATATGCATTTCTATGGAGGTTAAATACCATAATAATAGTAAATATGGTGTTGAAGATCCTAGAAAAAAAGCTTAGATACAATCACTGATCCAATAATCAAGATCTTTCTGATGTGATGTTTCATACTTGTTCATTGTGCGAGCAACAAGAACGCCACCAAGAATCTACAATAAATGGCTATAATATAGAATATATATTCCAACTGCCTAAAGTATTGTAATTTAATGTGTGATAAAATTAATGTATTCATTGACAAATTAACTGAAATTCTATATTGAAATTATAGTTATATTATAACAGACTTGGTAGGTTTTTGGATTTCAGAGTTCTAGTCACTCAGTCATCTATGCTAGGTTACAGGAATGTTCAGATGAAAGCCCATATAGGGAATGACCATGTAATATTACAACATGAAGTAGGTACTGTATTTAGAGTGAAACCACCGTGAGCATGTCATCTACTAACATAAAACGCATGTGTGTTTGTGTGCCCTGTATGTTTCCACCATCCACACTTTAATAATGTCTGTAGCCCATACTATGTGTGTGTGTATTACTAGTGTAGATGTACATTCAATGTGTGTGGTACTTCATGTACACACATCACTATGTCGAAACACAGATATGTGTGTGTATGTTACACATGACCTTATCCACAATATAACTCATTAATGATCTAATCATAGATACTTAGTTGCTGGGCAACATGTGATCAATAGAGGGCGATATTGTGCTTTAGTACTGGAATTCAGCAGCCACTGACTGACTATACAGTAGTTGATTCTCTCATACATTAAAAGGGGTTGTTAGATAAATAAAAATCGTCATTTTTATATAAACTGCTCTATGCATTGGCAGTATAATAACAAAAATGTTGGTCAAAAATCACTTTATAATGTTGGACCTGTCAAAAATTTTATCTATAATTAACAAGTAAAAATAATATTTATCAGGATACATCCTCTTGTAATGTTATCATAATGTTGAATACCTTAACTTGAAGAAAATAAAAACCATAATAAAATAAGAGAGAAAGTGTAATACAATTAAATTTAATCACTGCAGACAGCTTGTAAGTGTGTCAGTGACCATCAACCAACACCAGATAGTCACACTGCTGCCATCATCATGTTGGCTGGCTGCCAGATGTCAACTTGGATCCTTGGACAGTAAAAGGGCATCGTTGTTAAGATTCCATAAAAATCATCTACCGCCAGAACACGGCCCAATATCGTCAGGTTTGGTGATCGGTAAGGTGTGAACTCGAACGCTGTGTCGAAGTACTCTGAACCAAATCTCTCAATATCTATATCACATGCATTGAATTTTGCAAGAAGACTGGAATAATATATATACGCATCCAGATACTTGAAATGCAGTACACTAGCAAATCAAAAGGTTTTAAAACTTGACAGGGAAGTTACCGATCCATCGAGAGATGGCACAGTGGACCTGGGCGGAATGTCAGCGAGTGATGCATGGTTGAAAAGCTTGTACCACCCAGATACTCTGTTCATCAGTGACATATTGTCAAGGAGAATTTCAGCAAGGCCAAGGAAATCTTTTTTGTCTATTCTTGCATAGTCACCCCAAACAGTGATCTAGAAATAATAAAGGTATTTTAAATTAAAATTATATTCTTCAATTGTTAATAATACAAAATTGTTGGCATATGCATACTGTATAGTAGTATTTTCCACATCTTAAAAATCACATTGTTTGAAAAGAAATATCTGATGCCCAGTATATTCGCAAATAAATGCTATATTATAAACGAGAGGCTTAACTTCAATTATGGATACCGCATGTACAGTACTACATAGACCAGTATTGTATTTGATAAAAAAAATTGACTAAATCATCTGGGAAAAAAAATGTCCTTTCCTTGATTATAAAACAGTTTATTACAAATAAATATTGGAAAAAACTTAGTCAGGACTCTCACAAGGGTTTGTCAGTCTATACAATACACTGTATATATTTTTGCATATAAGGCCAGGGGCGGATTTAGGGGGGCCGGCCCGGCCCCGGCACCCCCCCTTTTGAGAGGTAAAAGAAAAGAAAAAAAAAAGAAAAAAAAGAAAGAAAAAGCGATAAAAAAACGATAGCCCAGAACGCCTCAAATGTTACTTTCGGGCGTCTAAAACACAGAAATTTCGCAGGGGCATGCCCCCGGACCTCGTATTTCAGTGTTGTCTCGGTCGGCCCAAATTTCAGCCCCCGCACTTTTGGACATCTCTGGATCCGCCCCTAAAGGCAATTCATGTACAAGACCCCCCCCCCCAAATTTGAGAAGGTTTTTGGACGATTTTGGGTATGTGAGGCGTATAAGACGACTGCCTGTTTCACTGTCGGAATTCCTACTCATTGCTGCTCTTTATGTTCTTGATAATGCACCTAGCTGACTAAAAACTAAACTAAATGGCTAAATATAGAGCAAATCTTCCTAATAATACCATTTTATGGGCTTTTAAATGTTCATTAAAATTTCATTTCCACGCATTTATAATTGTGTTCACTCATAATTAAAGTTAGTAGCTTCATTTCAGTAGTAAATTTTATGGACGATCCGCACATAAGACAAACATGATATAAAAATCGAAAATTTGCGTGTACAAGACAACCCCCTGTTTTTTATCGTAATTTGCTATATTGAGCTTCGTCTCATATGTGAGAATATACAGTAATTGAGTGACAACTAATGTGCCTCTCAATCCAAAAAGGTGAAATTTTGATTTTTGTGCCACAGAAGAATGAATGATTTACACTTGAGGCAACTAAACAATACTTACTCTTAATACTTTGCCTCTGTAGTCTTCATCAAAGAGCAGTGATTGATTGTACTCAGGATCCAGTGTTCTTCTTGCTATTTTTGTCTTGCGCTTGCCAATGCACCTGTTTCCATCCATTAAATATAGTTTGACCCATGGAGCTAGAAAGAACAACCAACATCACAATTAACATATTTTCTTGAATAAATGCCTCAGAGCAGGGTTTTTGAGGGGGGGTGTTTATTTGAGGGACGTTCATTCGTGAGAAGCGTTTATTTTTTTAATGTAAAATGCATACGGTACATATATACATTCACATAAACACCCTTAAATAAACTACAACACATTATAACTGTAAAATTGTCTTATTGCATGATCATAAAGACTTATTGATCCCAACCAGGTTAGAAAAAAGTAATTCTAATGGAGTAGAATGTGTTGAGAATTATCTTGCTTCCCATTAGAATTGTTCAGTCATTTTTGGGGGTATTTATTCAAGGAAAAAATAAATACCTAGGAGGTGTGTATTTGAGGAAGGCGCTTCATTCCAAATGAGGTTCTAGATGGGGCGTTCTATTTTCTTTTTTTTTTTTGGGGGGGGGTGCACTAATTCTTCTTGTGTTAAGGAGTAATGTCATGTCATGGCGGTGGGGCATGATGGAAAATTAAGGGGTGCTAGCTGGGAGAATGAGGTGGCATGAAGTAAATTTAAACAACTTGAGTGCATTCTTTTTTCTTAATATCTTTTTAAAAAGCACAGTTTTTGTGAGGCATGTACAGTACTCTTTTACTCTCTAAGATATGCCACTGTTGATGAAAATATTAACAGATAAAAAAAAAGTAAAACAAGTTTAATAGAAAAATAATAAATAAATAAAACTGAATCATTCTTCAAATCTTGCTAACCTGGCACCATCTTAGCAGAAGGTTTTGAGACTAGGCTTCTAGCTTGAATCACTTCAACTAATAATTGGCCATTCTTTTCTTGCAAACCAAGATGGATTTTCCCAAGCGCTGGTGTACCAAGGACTTGCCGACCAACCAACTGAGATGGGCCTAGGCCATCCAGAAAGTCATTGAAATGAGCTTCATTTGCAGTCATTCGTGGCATCCAAACTCTGAAGACAAAATAGAAAATAGGATGATAATTTTAAGCAAAAATAATCCAAAAAATTAATTTGAACTCCTGTTGTTATGATTGAGAAACTTTTAGTAGACAGAAAAGCATAATGGTATTAGCATGCCAGCTAAATTAAAAACCACAGATAAACCTCATCAGCATTGTGTTTACATATAAACACCATCAGCTTTGTTCACATATAAATTCCATCAGCCTTGATCACATATAATCTCCATCAGCATTGTTCACATATAAACTCTATTAACATTGTTCACATATCGGGGGCAGATCCAGGATTTGAAAGAAGGGGGTTCATTTTCCCTTAAACCCCAAAATAAAAGGGGGGGTCCTCCCCCGGGAAAATTTTGATTCCTAGATGACCAGAAATGAGCTTTTCCGACTTCTAAGGTGTCTTTTAATGACCTTTAATTTCTTCAAAGTTCAAGGTTTTACCCCTCTTAAAAAAAAAGGTCAGGTGATTTTATCTCATTCTTAGGCCTATACCATAGAAAATAAATCAAAGATATAGTCAATATATTATTAGGCCTATATCCTACCTACCAAGTCTTAACGCATCCGGCGTGAGCCTAACGCTTTTCGAACAAACCTCAAGCTCTCAAGCCACTCCTCTAAAATCTCACGCTTTTCCACAAATCTCAAGCTTTATTTGATTTAAAACCCAAACTTTTTATCGAAATACTAGAAACCTTTGCAATTCTACTGTATATTTTATCAGGCCCAGATCATCGAAAATTCTATCGTTCCTATTATAGCTACACATTTTTAAGGTTTAATTTCAGCACTACTAGAGAATGCACCAGAGAGCATCTAAGCCCAAAATTTTTCGGGGCCCTTGGACGGGCCCTTAACTCGCGTCAATTGGGTTTATTTCCTGTTAAATCTCAAGCCTCTAGCTACCTCCAACTTGGCATGTATTCTATATTCCAACATTATTGAGTAGTTGGATACGTAGTCTTTCTTCCATAGATCGATGAACTGATAACCCTGAAGAACACACTCTCGTACATAAATTATTACGATGTTTAAAGCTAAAAGTGTTTTTAATTGAATGCTAGTTGGGCTAAGCCTATTTTGTCCGATCTGCCAACCTATGCCTAGGTAGGTTAGCATGCCTTTCGTAAGCCGGGACCCAGTAGTATTTTGTTACGTTTCTTCACAGAGGAGGTTCGTCCAAATCCCTTGAACACCCCCCCTGGATCCGCCACTGGATATAAACTTCATTAGTATTGTGTTCTCATATAAACTCCATCAACACTGTGTTCACATATAAACTCCATCAGCATTGTGTTCAAATATAAACTCCATCAGCATTGTGTTCGCATATAAACTCCATCACCATTGTGTTCACATATAAACTTCATTACCATTGTGTTTACATATAAACTCCATCAGCATTGTGTTCACACGAACTCCACCAGGATTGTGTTCACATATAAACATTATCAGCATTGTGTTCACATATAAATTCCATCAGCATTGTGTTCACATATAAATTCCATCAGCATTGTGTTCACATGAACTCCACCAGGATTGTGTTCACATATAAACTCCATTAGCATTTTGTTCACATAACCTTCATCAGTATTGTGTTCACATAGATACCACTAACATTATGTTTACATGACCACTGTCAACAGTGTGTTCACAAGAACACTATTAACATGAACACAATCAACATTGTATTCACATCAAAAGATATGCAAAGATAACATTAAGAATAGAAAGGTTATTTTAAAAGTCTGAATAGCAAACATTATCAACAATTAATAAAGAGTGTTCAGCAACATATAAGGTTGTCTATCATCATCCACCATCATTATTTCTTAATTAATTTATATATTATTTTAAGGATAGCACATTAGCTTAGCAGAGATTCAGCATGTTAATGTTAAACTGAAAATGTTAACTGAATACATAGATGAATATAGATGAAGGGCTAGATAAAGGAATAAATGGATGGATGGAAGGATATGAATGAAAGAATAAATGAAACAGGCAATTTTATTAGCAAAAGATACACATAAATGAATGAATGAATGAATGTATGAATGAATGGAAGGATAGAAGAATGAACAGATGGAGAAATGAATAGATGGATGGATAATTGGAGGGGTGAATGGTTTGATAGATGAATGGGATAAAATGACTGATATAAATGTATGTATGAATGTAACAGTATCTAAATGTAAAGATTACCAAATATTACATTGATGTATTATATAGAAAACACAAATTGTAGCAAGAGTGAGATCATCTATTTGTTACACACATATTCATGTTTTGAGAAAAATGTATTGTTCCCATTTTTTCAAACTCTAGACCCCAAAATATTGTCCCCATTAATGGGGACAATACACATTTCTCAAAAATCTATTATCACTATAGGAGTTGTTTCTCCATACAAAAGATCACTATCATTTGAATTATAGAACACAGCATTAAAAAAAACATTATATAATACTAATGCCACTGAAGAATTAATTACAAAAAGCTTCAATAAGTTTGCAAAAACATTATTGCTACTTTCACTGAAGAAAACCAAAGCCAGATAGTTAACAATTATTATTGAAATTAAATAAGTTTTCTAAATCACCTCTTCTGATTGGCTGCCTTTACTATAAAGTCTCGTCTAAAGCTGTGAATCATAAGGTGTTGTTTCAATGATTTAAGAATATTAAAGACTTATTTAATGAGTAATACTTAACTAAATGTCTTTCTAATTGTTTATTATATTGGAAAAATGGAAAAGCTATTGAAAACTATAGAAAGACTTCACTTTCATCGTTGAATACTTCCTTTATTAAAAGTATATTGTTACATAGCATAGGTGTTAAAGATTAAACAAATATTATATTTATATATAATATACAAAATATATATACTTCTTTATATATTTAAATAAAATTATGTTTTTCAAATGAAAATTAAAAAGAAAAATATTGGTTTCATTTAGACTTAATTGGACTGGTTCTCAATGGTCCTACTTTGGACTAAATTGGTATTATGTATTAGAGAAATCTCATTTATTATTAGGTGGACTTCATTTATTGTAATTATGGTCTCATTTAATATTAATATAGCCATTTGTCCTTTTGTCTCCTACCTCATTTCCTATTGTATATATAGTAAAATAAACTAACTAAAATCTTTAGTTAGATGGCCTACAATGCCAAAGCCTGTATACAATTCACATTATTGCTGTAGAAATTGGATTAAATACATATTGTACTTAACTCCTTGTGGAGTTTAGTTGTCACTTTACATTACTACCCCGGTCATTTTATCAAACACCTATAGAACCCATACTCAGCTCCCTGAGGAATATTCATGTTCAGCTAGGGGTTAACACATACGCACGCACACCAATGACAAACACCAATGGAACACATGCTCATCTCTCTGGGTAATTCTTCATAATGTTGTAGTCATTATTCGGCACATTGAAATTCAAACCTACGAAAAGCTTTCGTTTGATCGATATCAAGAAGTTTAACCAAGGGACAACCCAAGCATGGTGGACTGATGACATAGTAGATTCAAAATAAAATTCTTAAATCTTTAACAAAAAATTGATATTTTTTATGATTTTCATATGCTTATAAACAATAGGTAGACTTACGTGTTGGCACCATCTGAACTTCCTACGCTACAAACACTGCCATCAGTACTCTCTCGGCTTGCTTGTGGCGTTAGACCCCGCTTCATATCCATACCTGTACCAACTTCTTCACTTCTTTGTATAGTTGTCCTCTTTTTACCTGTTGCATAAAGTGTCAATCAAACATTTTCAAATTACAGTATAATAATTTACATAATAATATATTATTTATAAAATTATTAATAATTTAATAGTGCATTTGTGGTATAGTTAAGGAAAAAGAGAAAAGTACAATCTAATGGTAATCAGAGAATATTACGTTCAAGTAAAATGTTGAACCAATAAATAAATGCCCAAAATACATACCTGTTAAATTGGACGTGCTACTGCTCTTTTTGGAAAGCCCTACAAATGCTGCTACCTTGGATAAACTAGTTCGTCGTTTCTTTAAATCTGCCATACTACCGGCGTCTGCCGCTGAGTCTGATATGCTGCCGTCGCTGCGATCATATGAGTAGACTTCCGCACTACTTGTGCTACGGCTTAAATTTGTTTTCTTAGGGTAAGGTGAACGCTCCTCCATCTTTGCCTTCAAATCACTTTTTAAAAAAAAAAACATCATTTAATTAACATTTTCTCATACAGGTACTACATAAGAATACATTTAGTTTAGAAAGTAATGTTAATTCTGCTGCTTTCCTATTTAACTTGTTTTACTTTATTCTGATATTTTGTTATAATACAAAAACAATAATACAACTTGATTATTGCACAACAATTCCATCCAAGACAAACTGGGTATAACAGTTGAAAGGCATTACATATCTCAAAGGAATATGTAGCAGAAACTGGTAGAACACAGATATAAACTGTTTGCTCTTGTTTGAAGTCTATGACCATCACAAATTCACCGATTGTTTGAAACCTTTTAGTGTGATGAAGTAGTAGTTAGGACATACACATTCAGAGGGCAAACTGTTCAACTGGAGGTTTGACAGCTGAAGCCCCAGCCACAATTTAAGTGTGCTGCTCCTAGGTGGAGCCAGTAAGCTTCAATTATGGTTTAATTTGAAGATGTTATATGTTTGATGTATTATGCCCAAAGAACTTTATAAAAAAATGTTTTCAGTGCAGCAAGTCATGGTTGACAAGAATTTGAGAAGAGTCTAGTCCGCTCAACAAGGGCTCAATACTGCTGGCGCCCTCACTGGATACATGTGTGAACGGCAATGTGTAGTACACCACTTAATAAGCTGGAAGGATAACTCAATTATACTTCTAATAATTAAATAAATAAAAGAATAAATATAATAATTTGCAAAGCTGGATTAGAATGAAGATTCTAAAGCATTTTACAAAATGAGCAGCACATTTCTATTTAAAATTTAATTACAATAAATTTCATGCATGGTTAACACACTATATGAGAATTTAATAAAATGATTTCATGATTAAAAATAGCTGAACATTTTAATTTTAACAGGAAGTATGCATGACAACATGGTCAAATAAACCAAATGTTATGTTTTCCATTGTTTATGTTCATAAAAATTAAGCTTAACAAAAGAATAATAATTTCTCCTTTTTGTACAAAGTGAGCATGACAATAACATACGTGGTACTACCATGCTTTTTATTGGAACATATTACTTATGAATGTATTATTGTAACTACATAATGACCATAATTTTCATTTAATCATAGTTACCAACCTCAGAGAAATAAATGCTTTACTGATGAAAATGTGAGTGGACTCAATTATGAAATGAACTGTTCAGATTTTACTATTACTTGAATATACTGTTGTGTATGGTTGTTGTCCAATAAATGAGACAATTCTTGATTCATTTCTGATATTAAAAACGTCAACAAGACCTCAAGTACAGCAACCTATATACAATTAGTAAGGTGACTGCCCTCATTCCTATCACCTTTATGATTGAATCTGGCCGTCTTAATTTATAATAACAAATGGAGAAAACAATTATCTTTAATAAAAAGCCTTCAAGGACATGGTCCTTAACTGTTAAATACAAATATGTTTGGTTATTTTTCTACAAATAGATAATATCACTCAAGGTTTGACCATGGACCTATTTTTATTATTATAGGTCCATGGTTTGACAAATAATCAATCATGTGACTCCACCACATGTGATCATATGTAGCCAATGTCATGTATCTAATTACTATATAAAAACCTATGTTGATTTTCAAAGTTATTTTGTTTTTAATTTTGGAAAAGGCTAAAAGTGCTTATTTTCTTTGAATTGACTGACTGGTTGATTGACTGATTGATTGATAGATTGATTGAGTAATTGACACCACAGCTCCACATTTCCTTTATTAAAAAGGACAGTATGTTTGATGCACTCATGAAATGATGGATTAACTAGCATAATACATAATATTCATGACATGGTATATGTGAGTAGTTCAACCTTTAAACTAAGCCTGTCTCGACTTAACTCGTTTGACACTAACTGACCTTGCCAGTAACTGTGAACAGTTTGTGAGCAATTGTTAGTCTCTGATTTGAAGCAACATGATTCTAACGATCAACAGAAAATGGCCAATCGCTCTCCGCTGCCCATGTTTATTTCACTGCGATCCAAAGCAACTGATTAAATGGTCGTGTGACAGAAGCCCAATAAATGTTGTAGTTAACTGTGGCGTGCTACACACGCTAAGGTTGTAGCACGCATGGCGACTAGTTGTGGATAACCTACAGTCGGTACTCGTTGTGAGTGCGACAACTATTTGAGGTCAGGTAATGCCTATTCGGTGACATAAGCTTAACTCTATGTTGTGGGTTACAATCCCACGTAATTTTGTGGGATATGTAAGGGGCGGGGGTTTAGCAGAAAGGCCCATTATACAACTAAGATTACAAGCAGTTTATGTTGCTTAGGTATCCAATAACATAGGGAAAATTAAAAGCATTCCCAGGACTAATCGCAGACATGGAGACACTTGCAATATAAAAGAACTATATAAATTATGTATTATCATTAATCATCATGAATATAATAATGAAAAAAAAATTATATAGTAATCATAATATCAATAGCGATTGCATAAGCATGAATTATTCAGAAAGACAATGAATTAGTGTCTTGCTATATGTTTTTCTTTGGACAATACCTTTGACTATTTGAACAATACATTTGACTATTTGAACAAAATTGGTTCCTTTCAAAAGTTAGTAGAATTTGCATATTTGTAGTTATTGTAACTATTTGGTTTTTGTTTTCTTTAAATTGAGCTTCTTGCTTTTTCCACTTCATAAACAATAACATTAAGTTCTTAATGGTCCTTACAGTCTCATACAAAAAAAAAGGAAATTGAAAAAAAAATTGCAACTATCAAATTCCTTTTTTAAAAATTTCTAAAACAATGAAATAATGTAATAAAACAGGGCATGCAGCTCCTGAACTGTAAATAGCCCAGAGCATAAAACCTTAAAGGCAATGCAGCAAAATCGCATGCATCCTGCTGGGGACATGGTACCATGCAGCCCTGGGCATGCAGCCCAACACATCATATGAATTTGGGCATGTGGCCTAGAGTATATAAACCCATAGCATGCAGCCAATAGCATGTACTTTAGTATGTGCGCTGGGGGGAGGGGCAGCGGTGTGCACTTTGCATTGCTGTTTTACACTACAAGCAAGCTATGTATGATAATAATTGATCTCAAGATATTTGAATGGCCTTATGAACACCATGTGAATTGTCAAAACATGAAATAAGGCTACACACATCTAAATGATTGTTATATTGTATAATAAATCAACAATGACGATAACACTAAACTCGACCTCTGTACACTACTACAATACATTTAAAAAAATTGTGGGGTAAAGATTGCGTATTCTGGGGAAAGTTGTTAGTAGGATTGGACACAATTTAATTTCATGTCACTAAATGGGGGCAACACTGGGTGAAGTGACATAATTAAACGGCTGTAAATTTGATTGACTTCACAAATGATATTCATTAATTAATGCTTAATCAATCAATGATTAATGAGTCAATTTACCTCGGTCTCCTCTCTGGACAGCTACTTATACTAGACGCAGGAAAAAGAAGATAAAAACAGATAAACTTCTAAAACCCAACAATATTAACAGATATTACACGTTTAAGGAAGAGCTTTATCCCACTGAAATGCAATTCCAACTATCGACCGTCCCACCCTCCCCTGTCTCCTATAATTCATCAATTGTTTTATTTTCTTTTTAATAATTGTCACAGAATTCTGAGATGTAATTTAATGATAGAAAATAGAACTAACAATATTGGCCAACTTTTTACAATGATATAGAGCAAATGTGAATTTTAATATCATATGGGAGACAAGCAAACTTACCAATGACCAAATCAGATTTAGAAATCCTAGTGTAGTAGAATGGGAATGCATTTTATATCCATTAATCTCAAAATATTATTACCGTTTTTCCTCAATCATCATCTGTTTATGATATTTTAGTTGCTGTTTTCTTTTTAAAGTCAGAATCTATATATGTTACTTTATATTATTTTTTAAGAATATATTTAAGAAAGGCCCAATTAACTATAGCATCTACGAGCAAAATGTGATTAAAATTACTCTTAAATACTGTATTAATTCATAGGTTTGGTGGGAGAAATTAAAAAAAAGGCTACTCACTCGCAATTGAGTCTAATATCTACCTCTCCCTAAACACCATAGAATGGGTTATTGCGGGAAAGATTTAACAATTAAATCATGGTGATGTGTGGAACAGAAATAGTTTGTGGTTTTTGCACGTTGCCATGACAATGAAACATATCTGCGATTTATTCTGAGCGTTAATTGCAAATATAATTGACAAAGCAAACATAGCATGTTGTCAAAACATTGAAAAATAAGACAGTACCGTAAAGCAAATGGTATTTTTAGGTGGATAAGTACATTCGTGGCAAAGACAAGCCAAACCAGTCACTCATCGCATAAATTGATTTTGTTATTAATAAAGGGTTAAACAGTAAACTCAAAGCTATAAAAAATAGTAAAATAATCATTTACATCTGACATTTCATTATGAAGTTACAGGAGTTTAAACATACAGCTGTTTAAAGAACAATATTTACGATTTCGGGCATTTCTTAGGCAGAAACCATCACTAAATAGTTAAAAATTGTTGTTTTAAACATTGAAAATGGGCAAAATAATAGCACAGCATGATATATAAAGGTTAGTTTAATGCAAGAAAATAGATTTTGCAAAATGTTGACATTCCAGCATGTTTTGGCCATTACCTTTAAAACAGGATGTGCGACGAGTGACTGGTTTGGCTTGTCTTTGCCACATATATATGATAAATAAGAAACCTTAAACAAAGAGATAAAGGCAAAAAAGCAAAAAGCACGCATTTTCATACAGATAAAAAGCTCACTGAAAATTTTTACAAAAATGGGATGTGCAAATGCTGTTTGATATATTGGTATTAGCTTTGCCATTGTTTTACAGTATTATTCTTTTACGTTTATTTTTGAGAAAATGTGTACACAATTACAAGCATCACAGAGAAATAAAAATCATTTGCATATGGTGCATATCGGTAATCAATGATAAGCAAAAGAACGACATTACTACACAGATTTACTACTGCATCAAAGAATAATAAATAGGAGGTATATGTAAATATCATAAATAAAACTTGTACTACCAACTCAAGACCTAAAGAAGAATAACAACCACAAGAATAATGATAAAAAGATGACCATAAAAGAAGCAAATTAAAAGCACAAAAATATTTAGTTGATTTTTTTTTAAAGTTAAAAAGCTTATAATATTAAAAAAACTGATTTTATTACTCTATTTATTTATTTTCTGGGGAGTATAAAGCGACCTTAGAAACGCAAATGGAATTAAGTGATATAATTATGTGACAACATCTAAAAGTTCATCATCAGCACAGACACTAGCCACCACTGGTACTACTGTAACAACCTCAGCCTTAGCAATGTTATCAATTAATGAAACACACACCATAGACAAGTACAGGTAGTAGATGAAACGCAATTCGCCAATTAGCAAATGATGGACATCAATCAACTTTTCATGACACTAGTTTTATTAAGTTACAAGGTTAGAGTATTAAATCGAATGGGTTAAACACTCAGTCAATTAGTGGTTATTACAACCTTAAAGCCACTTTCTTGTGTAATCTGGTCAAATTTGTAGGAGGTTGGTGAGAGAACGAGTGTGTGTGTGTGTTGAATTCATGGCGGTGTTGGGGATGTGAGTATAATGCATGCGTGTAGTGAGGGTAAAACAATGAGGCATGTATGAAATGTTTGAATTTGGGGCCGTGTTAGGATGAGTCAATAGTGGATATATGTTTTCAAAAGGGGTGAGGTAGTGAGGGAACATGCGTATGCATGCTTTTTGGCAAGTTGTGTTCGGAGTGTGTATCTGTGTATATGTTCTGTGGGTGTGGAGGTGTGTATGTGTCCATATTGGTATTATGTCTGTTGAATGAAAAAATGTACTTGGGTAGTAAAGGATGTGTGCATATGTGATGAGTTTTCTGCTCATACAAGTTGTATGTCTTTTTGTATATTAACTATTAATAAACAATGAATCAGAATGAAACAAATAATTTCCAATCCAGCAAACATACCAAAATCATCATGATGGTTAAGTAGTTTGTACTACAGATTTATTGAGCAATATATAAGATAGACCTAAGCACACCTTACTTAAAAGCACAGAAAGTGAAATACACAATAAAACAATACTACGATTATTATAATTTCAAAAAAAAAATTTAAAAAAATTAATTGAAATGATGATGATTTCATTCTTCACTTGCTTTAAACTTGCAATGATTACAAAAAATGTAACTATTACATGTATTCATTTTATTAAACTAAATTAATTTCATTATCGGAATTATAATAATGAATTTATATGAATTTTATAGGAATAATGGAAATAAGATTAAACAGTTAGATATTCGTAAACCAACCACTGACTCCCTAAGTTGCAATATTTTTTAATGTGAAAAATTACAAAAGGTTCTATTTTTCATTTCTTACACAACCATACGACATCAAGAGAACATGTGCCATGAAAAAATATTTTTATTTATAGGGCTCAAGGGAGAGTTTCGTTTAAGTTAGTGAGACAAGCATTTTACTCTGTACCAGAATATAGGCTAGTAATTGCTACTATTCACTGATGCATAATTTCATATGAAGATATCACGCCCTATTATTTTTGCATGTTATAACGAACCAGATACCAGGTCTATATTAGTACACAGTAAGTGCACAGAGACAGTCCTTGCGATGTGCTTCATAAATGGCAAATAATGTTTTTTTTTTACTATTATTACAAATGTATCTTACATTGCTATGTGGAATGAGTGAAGTGAACGTATGCGCGAGCATTAAACAAAAAAATCACCACAATATTGAGCATAAAATATCAGAATGGCATAAAATTGTAAACATTCAAATAATAATGGCATACACATTGTGAGAATGTTACAACACAATTGTAATATTAGTGTGATTTCACGCATTTTAATTGCACAAAAAAATCACAGAAACAGCATTAAACCTGACATAGCAAAAATTACCTTAGTTTGCGTCCTCCTCTTGGTCTCTCAGACTGCGTTGATAAAACGCTCATTGTACTTGCGGACGTCAGTGCTGACATGTCGCTCAATGTGGACATGTTGCTATCTGAAGATTTAATAGATATGTTGTCAGGACTTTGCTTTCGCTGGCGACTTCTAGAATGGGAATCGGGGACGGGGTTCACGTACGAACCCCCGTTGCCATGTGGGGACAGAGAGTTGACAGAGGCTGCCTGCTTGTATTGGTTCATTTTCATCTTTATCTCCATTTGTTTGGCATTTTCTGAGGGGGGAATTTAAAAAGGTTACGAAAAAAGAATAGCTGCACCTGTGTTCTGGATGCCCTTCTATTCTACATACTGGACACTACAGGTGCAAATGGCGTGCAAAGAGGGGTGCTGCAAAATCTAAGAGAAAAAGAAATGAAGTGAATGGGTGGATGAGCTAAAAAGAGGAAGGATGACACCACATACCTCATCACCTATATATTAGACAAACCACAATCTACACCACAATCCTTGATATTACGGTAGTATAAACCGCTTCATCCTCATTATGAAATTTGAAGTTCCGATAATGATGATAGCAGTTGTAAATGGACATTCAAGATATTTACAAAACACTCTTCATATCATCAAATCTCAGGTTGCAAAACAGTAATGCGAACATCTGATGCTCGACACAACACAAACCTGTTTAGCATTTATATTTTTATGTTCTATGCATGCAAAACTAGTGATGCTGAACCCTTTCGAATCTCGTCAGTGTTCCTTCAAGTACTTCACCATACGTTTACCTCCACCGTATGATCCTTTCGTTTAACTACAACGCATACATTATGTTGTGGCATCTTGTTGGCTCAGCCAGATCACTATAATAATGGTGTGATCCAAATTTATTACAAATTTAAAGTCAATTTTTTGGATGATTATTATGACCATTTGAAATATTATGTTCAAAAATACATGTATTGATGCAGCTGTGATAAGTGTGTGCAAGGTAATGTTGAGTCACATGAGAAATTGGTTATGAACTGAGAAACTCTGACAAGTTTCAGCAAGTTATTTACTGGTTTACAGTGAGTAACTGGTATGAAATGTCAAACTAAGTGACTGCTAAAACATGTGAGCAAGTAATATAAACTGTTGTAAAAGTTGCTAAGGCAATGTGGAAATCTCTTGGAAAGATGTTACTGGGTCATATGGGCAAGCAAAAGCAACTCCCAACATGTATCTGCAAGTTACTGCTTGGTTTTCTACGGCAGAGATTACATGTGTATCAAGGTTAGCCATTATTAACGACAGAGAAGGCACTAACAGAATCAAAATAATGTTATGTTTCAAAATTTGCTTATTACATTTCCTTTAGGTTTACAAATTGTTTTCTCAAGATTTACAAACCAGTTGCTATATTGGTGACAATGATAGTGACACAGACATTCCACTTGGATTAGTCATTCTAAAGACTGTTATGAAGGCGAATATGAAAACACACACATTCCAATACATGGCATCCAATCCAAACATCATTCAAATATGTGTCACATTAAAATATATTCACTTACCTCTTTCACTCCTTCCCATACCATGGGAGGGAACTTGGGGGAGCTGACGGGTTGGTTTGCGTCCAGTAGGGGATGACGTCGGGCTTGTCCTTGGGCTTGCTCTTGGACTACCCCTCGGACTAACTCTTCCAACTGGACCTCTTCCCATGGTCGCTCTTATTGGTGAGCAAGGCAAACTAGACCCCTCAGGTCTCATCCCTCGTGATTCATGCATATGACGATATGGCCGCTCATAAGTATATTCCCTCACTTCCGATTGGCTCCTCCTAGCACTGTCAGGATAGTATCCATTAGCTCTTCGGTTAGGCGATCTAGATCTCCTGACATTTTTGTAGTCATAATCAAAGGGTCTTGGAGATGGCTCCCTCATCCTTCCATCCCTAGATGGTGATGGTTCTCTATATCTTCGATCTTGCGAGGGCTCCATGAGCGCTTGGCGTGAAGGAGAATAGTCTCTACGTCTCGAGTGTAAGTCTCTATCACCGGCTGAATAACTATGATGTCTTTGCTGGTCCATACTTGGTGACATTGCTCTTCTTGATTGCCTCGCATGAGGTGGGCTGAAGTCTAAGGGACGTATAGGCTCTCCATTGGGATGGTAGTCCAGCCTACCTTCATCCTGTCGCTCTAATGAATAGCTACGACCTGGCTGATGGTATTCCTGCATCCTCGATGGCGGGTATTCCTGTGCATTCGGTACTCGACTTGGTGAAGAATCCCGCCGCCTAGGAGGTAGGGTATATTCGCCCATAATACCTGTTCTGCGGTCGCGTGAGGGTGACGGGTCCCTGGGTAGTCTACCACCATCGTTAGGTAGTGGTAATTGACTTGCTGGATCCTTCTCACCTGGCAATACACCAAGTCCCTCCTGTGCTGCTGCACTCACTGTTAAAAAAACAAAACAAAATGCATCAGAAATCGACAAGCACAAGATATTGTGCAATATCTATATATACATATGAAATTAATACTGTATAATAAAATGTCAATAAAATTTCATACAAGGTTATAAAGAGAAAGGAAAAATGTACAAGATTAAAGCATTTATTTCCATATACAGATATCAAGCAAACCCCTATTCAATATAAATTCTATATAGTTTATCCTTGAATAAACAAAGTTACTACAGAGTATTAATACAGGTTGCTAGGGTGTATTAATAAAGCTACGATGCTAATAACTGTTTTAGGCAAAGTTGCTATGAATAAACAAAGTTGTTTGGAAGTGTTGCCAAGTCATACAAATCATAACAATGGAATAATAAAAATTACAAGAATAATACCAATAACATTAAAAAAATAATATTAATAACTTTTAGATAATACTAACAACTATAATAACAATATTTACTGGCCTGTACATTATGGTATGTTGTTAAAAGCAATAATAATAATAATAATAATAATAATAATAATAATAATAATAATTAATTAATTATACTAGTATTAATAATAATAATAGAAAAATAATAGTAATAATATCATTAATATAATAATAATAATCAATAATAATAATAATAATTGAGTAATAGTAATAGTTTACAACAAAATAATCTGAAATGGATAGAAAAACAAAAACAAAATTATAGAAATGGATAACAACCCATTTGTATAAAAATAGTAATACTGAGCATTATAACTAATAATCTAGATTAATACACTAAGTTTCTACGGCGTATTAATACACTGATAGTTAATGTACAGAGTTGCTAAGGACAATTAACACACCACCACATACCATACTACTAAAGAATATTAATGTGCCAAAATTGCTTTTTTTTTTTAAATAATAAAGTCCCAAGATTCTGAATTCCAATCGTGTGAAACTTTTTTTCTCATTTCTTTAAACAGCTACAAGCTCGATAAAGCATAACTGTTTTTGTTGTTTCTTTCTTTTGTCTTGACACTGGGTAAAATAGCGCATACAGATATTGCACTGTATAATGTGCTATATATATGGAATACCATTACTATATAATGAATAAGGTTTCCAATACAGTATAAGCATGAAAGAATTCCTCCATGGTATAAGGTAATCATTAAAAACACATCAAAATTTAGAACAGCAGATAAATGGCTGAGACACCAATAGCATGTTGCATTATATAATTGCTGAATGTAATTCTACACATATAGAGGTCACTGTGAATTGTCTACTATTGTACTACTGAACACCTGACTCGAAATACAGCAAGTTATTTGATAATGCAAAACATTCCACAACCAACAACTAGCACAAAATTATCAACAAAGCTTGAAGGCTATGGATGTAATTTTAATATTTCCTATAATTTAATATAATAATATGTTCCTAAAATCACACAGCAATTTTCATAATGCAAACTGAATCTCAAAATTGTCTTTTCTCATAGAGAACATAAATTGCATAGCTAGAGTATATTTATATTTTTAAAAGAACTCCAAAACACAAACTGATCCTGTGGACATCCAGTAGACTTCCAACATTAAATACTGTTACAAGAATATAAAATAAAACAGTATATGCTATTATTTCAAGAAAGAGTAAAAAGATAATATTTACGCTACTCATAAATATTTATCAAATATGAATTTGAATTCTAATAAAATTGATCTAACCTACTGACAGGCCCCCCATCCCTAACACACCCACAGACACACCACCACAAAAGGAGCGGAGAGGAAATACTCTCACAAGTCATAATCTAATTAAGTGAATTGAAAGTATAAGAAGATGGTTGGTATTTACTACCTACAAGAATAAGCTTAATGTTTTTTTCCACATTATAAATAAAATGGCAAATGGCAAAAAAAGTAAAGGCGGAAACTAATTTCTGGCATAATTTTTTTAAAAAGTAGCGGTAATAGATTTTAGCTCTGGGAAACTCAATTATTTTAATCCATGCTCAAGGATTTTTTTATGATGCAATACAGAATAGCAATGGGTTACCAAATATTAATAAAACTGTTAAGCTGAATCAGAAGTTATATAACATTTAAGAGTAATGATAAAAAC